AGAAGTCCAATATAAGAACAGAATATTAAAAGCCATCAGAGACAAGAAACAAATCACTTACAAGGGAACACCCATCAGAATTACAGCAGACTTCTTGGCACAAGCCATGAAATCATGAAAAGTGTGGGGGGAAATAAGTCGAGCTTTGAAAGATAATAACCTCTAGCCAAGATTGTTATATCCTGCACAAGTGTCCCTAGAAATTGATGGAAAAACAAGGTGCTTCCAGGATAAGGAGGAACAAGGGGAATTTGCAACCACCAATTCAACTCTACAGAGAATACTGCAGGATATTTTAAAAAAGAAAAATACCAAGATTCCAGAAACAGTGGCAGAGAGGCCACAATGAATGGAGCAGAAAGCAAAATGAAGAAGACAAACTGACAACTAATGACAGAAAAAGAGCTCAAAAGAAATGAGGCAGAGAAGATTGGATGGTAGGAACAGCTATTTTGGAGAAAACAAGACATCATAATAGCTAGTGCTGATTTAATATCATCTTGTTTTTGAAGTCCCATCAAGCTTTTGTTCTTCTGTCTCCATTGGTCTTAACATGTTGTATCGTATTGGATTTTATTATATGTGACAATATAAACAAAAACTTTTATAGGCAAGGAGATTATACAGAAACCATTGTTCATTTTCTGTTAGTTGATTCTAAAGACCCTGTAATACTGTCATTCTCTTGAATGGTTTTACATTGTCATGATATGTTTGATGCTACAGTATATGAAGTTATACTCAAAGATTTCAAGGAAAGAGACACTATGGTAACTACTTTTATGTCGGGATTATCTTGTGGTGAAACACTGTTTTGCTTAAATGGTTTTGTTTTGACCTGTGCTGTTTTATTGTTATGCCCCCTTTTATCTCAATCTCCTTTTTTATTTACTTTTTCATTTTTATCCTTTTAATTAAGGGAAAAATAAATAAAAAATAGCAGGATATATTATAGTAACCCACTTTGATTTCCTATTAACCTGATTTGAAACCCTGTATTGCTCTCACCATCTTGTTTTGACTGATTTTCCTCTATTCTGTTTTGCTTGTACCAAGTTCGAAAGTATTGGCAACAACTGTGAAGACAATAAGATTCATTATGACGCCTATTCTGGTTGACTATTATCTTCTTTTGAAGCTCTCTAATGTCTCCAATGTCTTGGTTTTATTCTTTACTGTGTTGTTCAATTTTATTATAACTGATGATATAGGCAATTCTTTTTAAGATAGCAAGAGACATTATGGTAACCATTGTTGATCACCTTGTATTTTGTTTTTACATTATCTATTATGTCCGTCCTTTTGATTTGACTGACTCTGTCCTGTTATGTCACATTTGGTTGTACTCTCTTCAAAAAAAAGTAATAAGAACTGTGGGATTAGTAAAACCCAAAATGTGTAGTTGTCATTGTACAAAAGAGAGGAAAAGAAAGTGCTCTAAAGGACATAACTGCATGTATATTTAAGTGTATAAGATAGGTAAACATATTATTGAGTTTTATTGGATCATTGAACAGAACTCTCTGTAGTCTCACTGTTTGAATGTCCACTCTATATGCTTTAATTTTGAAACGAACAACTATTTCTAAGATGACAATATGTAATCTATTAACTAGTGATTTCCTACTGTTTATTTTTTCTGAAATTCTGTATAACTTGTACCCTTTTCTGGTTTTTTTCTTTTTTTCTCCTTAAATAAAATTTTAAAACACTGAAAAAAAAAAGAAATTTTGTTTTACTTTTCATATGAAAAAGGAAAAGAATCGACAAGAAACAAAGTTCACAGCTGTAGCAGCTATTCTGTAACCATGACATAACGAACCTAAAGATGAAAATAAACATACGTATATCATGAAGTCCTAAGGATTCCCTGAGCCTTTGGAGTCCCAGAGGTTTTTAAATTGAGCTGCTTTAAAAAAATTGTTCTACATTCATAATTGGCATAAATTTGTTTCTAATAGTCACGTGCTAATACGTGTGTGTGTGTGTGTGAATCAGTAAATCATTATTTCAACCAGGCTGACAGTGTCTATTTTTGTTTGAGATAGAAATGTGACACAACTATTAAAAACCGCAATATTTAGATGCCTGAAAAAAAAATACATATGTCTGTGGAGAGAAAGGATCTGAGAAGTGTAGAGAAAGAATGAGTCATTGATAAAATTGGCATGCCAGCCTGTCTTGGAACTATGTAGCTTCATCCTTTTTATAAAACAGAAAATATATGTCCTGTGGATTAAGACTTTCATAGCTGGGGCTATGGTTCTTTGCACTGAATACATGTGATTTATATGGCATAAGTATGACCTGAACTGTATGAAGAGATTTTAAGGAACAGGAATCGAATACATACACAGATGGCAACTCCAGTAATCCTGAAGAGACATCATAGTGTCCTGGCCTAAGAATAAAGCAGTAAAGCTGGAGAGCAACAGATTAAGATGTTTTTGGCAATAAAAACAATAGGACTTGCTGCCGGTTTAGATATGAGAGATAAGTGGCGCAGGAGAGTTAGAAATAACCTCCAGGTTCTGTACTTCAAAGTGGCACCATGTATTGACATGGAGAGCAGGAAGAAGAGGCTTGGGGACAGGCGGGACTCAAGAATTCTTTTTTGGATGTTTTGAATTTTGAATGTTCATGAGCCATTCAATTAGAGGTGCAAAGTCAGCTGGTAGGTATCAGTCTGACGCGCCAGAGTAAGTTCGGGGCTTGGAATTCAATTTGGGAATTATCAAGACACAGATATATTTAAAACCACAGAAACAGAAGATTGCACTTATCAAAATCTGAGGAATTCTAAAATTAAAGGTCAGTTAGAAGGCAAACAGACTGAAAATAAACTATTGAAAGGTAAGAGGAAAATCATCACCAAAACCATCAACTTTGCATTTATGTTGAATTTAGCTTTATGTAGAACTAACTTTATAGCAGGCACTGCTCCAAGTGCTTTGTGGCTTCAAAGAAGCAAAGGAAAAAAGTGGTTTTTTTTTTTTTATTGAGGTACTGGGGTTTAACCCAAGGCCTTTGCACTGGGCTGTTACATCTCCAGCCCCTTCACTGTTGATTTCGAGACAGGGTCTCAGTCCCTAAATTGCCCAGTCTGGGCTCAAACTTGACATTCTCTTGGCTCAGTCTGGAGAAATGCTGAGATTACAGGTGTATGTACCACTCTCCTATGCTTTTCTTTTTCCTTTTGTTTTCTTTTTTGGCTTTCGCCCCTAAACTCAAAATGTTTAAGTGCAGTGTTTCTTGACTTTTATATAATTATTAAATTGTATATTTTGGAAACTATTCACTCAGCACAATAGAGGAAAGCTAATTGTGGAAAATAAAGATTCTTAGAAACTCTCCTCCTCAGTCCTACACACCAGAGTTGATTATTGTTTTCTGTATTATTGTTTAGGAAGTCTACAGACATACACGCAGAGACTTGTTTTTATACCAGATTGATTTTTCTCTCTCCACATAAACATACAAATATGTAATTCTGCAAGTTGATTTTTTTCTTTTTTTTTTGAGAGAGGGTCTTGCTATGAAGTTCAGGCTGACCTTTAGTTCACTTTGTAGGGCAGGCTGGTCTTGAACTTGCAAGGATCCACCTGCCTCAGTCTCCCAAGTGCTAGGATTATAGGTGCGCACCACAACATCCCGGTTTTTGCCTTTTTTTTTCCTAATGCAAAGCATTTTGGAGTTATTTCTTTCCTTTTTTTTTTTTTTTTTTTTTTTTTTTTGTCTTTTTCCTTTTTATCGGTACCAGGGATCGAACTCACGACCGCCTGCTCACAAGGCAGGCGCTTATGCCGCTGAGCTAAATCCCCAGCCCCTGGAGTTATTTCTTTATATGCATATTTAGTTCGCTTTTTAAAGCCTAAAATACCATTGTATTAACATGCCATAATATACTTAAGTTCCTCTTTGTGTATATATTATTTTTTCTTACCTCAAACAAAGTATCTTTGTACGTAGATCTTCGGATACCAGTGCAAAAATTACTGTCAGGTAATTTCCTCACAGTGAATACGCTGAATCGAGACACATAAACTTCCCAAAAGGTTATATAAATGACATTCTCTCCAGTTACATTTTCTTATGTGTTGGTCAACATTTGCTATTAACCAATTCCAAAAATTAATTGGCTGAGAAAATGATGTTTCATTGCTCTTATTGGGTCTATAATTATGAGTAGAAGAGCAATGCCTGATTGTTACACATGCCGGGGTTTTTTGTTTTGTTTTGTTTTGAGACAGGGTCTCTCTATGCAGTTCAGGTTGGCCTTCAGCTCACTTTGTAGCGGAGGCTGGTCCTCCTGCCTCAGCCTCCAGAGTGCTGGGATTACAGGCGTAAGCCATCACACACGCCTAGTTTTGAAACTTAAAACTCCGTGAACTGAATCCTAGTTCTTGAAATGTTACCTCGGGCCAGGTGAGTCTCTTTCTTTAAAAAAATAAATAAATAAAAAGGAACAATAACAGAGCAAACCTTCAGGATTAGAGGAGATATGGAGGACTACAGGGAACCTGCCTCTTCCCTCGCTTTTGGGAGTACTCATACTTTGGTACTCCTGTATTTTGGAGCTATATTCGCTTTGAGATGTCTTCTTTTCGGCCAAGTTTTGCAGAGCTCTCTTGTTTTTTGTAATTGATGTAAGTGGAAAATTGACTCTGCTTTCTAAAAACTTTACCCTCCAGTCTCGCCTTGGACCTACAGTATTGATTTATACACGAATTGTGCAAGAATGAACTGCAGTTTTAAACATGCAAAGCAGATGTGGTCAGCGCTGCCCGGCAGTCAGGATCCTTCCTTTAGGGAATAGAGAACGAGCTAAAAAGTATCTGGCGTCATTTGTCAAACGCCTCACTACCCACAAACCCAACAGGTTAAAGCTACGGCGCTTAAAGCACTAAAAGACAAGACTCACTCAAACCAGACTCAAAACTCAAAGCCCTAGTACCCGCCCAAGGCCACGCCACAGCCGGAAGTGACGCAAAAGCTAATTCTTCCGGCGTCTGCCGGTGGTGCGACTGAGGACTGCGCGAAGTGTGCGTCGGCGTTGCGGCCGGCAGAGGAATTCTGGGTAACGGCCCGGGCCGTCTGTAGCTGCTGGCTTCTTGCAGCAGGTTTTGTTCCCTACCAGTGTTTTGGCAGTGGCGTTTGTAGAACTAGGGCCAGCGGGACATGGAGCAACCGTGGCCGCCGCCAGGACCTTGGAGCCTCCCTCGAGTGGAGGGTGAGGCTGAGGAAGAAAGTGACTTGGACCTATCCCCCGGTTCTCCCCGCTGCCCGCCGCTGCCGGGCGGTGACGCGCAGGTGAGACGGGGCTCGCGTTCGGCGGGGGAATGGGGCGATGCTGTCGCTGAGCCCCTAGAGGGCCGCGTCTCCAAAACCCGCTCCCCTGCCCAGTTCTACGCCCACTTCAACCTCTTGTTCCCAAGGCCTGATGCCATCCCACCCTCGTTGTAGCATGCTCGAGGTGAAGAGAAGGTGGCATATATTCAACCAGCCTCCCCACACACGTTTTTCCTTTTACCTTGGGTGATTCTTTCACATCCTTGGAAGACATTCCTCCTGCCCCTTTCGTAACAGCGCTCAGACTCGGGGCGGCTCACGCTGTGTAATATTGACCCTTTGTCCTCTTGTGCGTTTCTGTTAGGGCTTCGGCGTACTTGTGCACAGTTGATAGGAACTAGGAGCGATTGTACCATAACGTTTCACTGAATGCTGCTCCTTCATCTGCGTTGACTGCTGAGCACTCAGTAAACTTGGCCTTAGATGCTGGCAGCTTCTCCGTCTTTCCCTTACTGGTTTGTTTTTAGTTTTGCTTCGTGTCTTTGTCCAATAAAACCATATAGGCACAGACTTTTGATGTTTTTACACTTCTCCGTCGAGTTCCCGATGCTACCGGTGGTTTTCAACCAAGTTTTCCTACCTCTGAAACTTAATCAAATGTGACAAAGCACATGCTCATGTCATCTTACCCTGGTTTTTACTCCCTAACCTGAGTGTGTTGTTGATTATACTTTTGGATCACAGACTAGATGTTTGCCTTCAGGGTTTTTGTTTGTTTGTTTTTGGTAAAATGGAGTCTAATAAAAATGTAGCAATTAATAGAAAATTATTTTCAAGACTCATTTTTGCTAGATGTAGGTGAGTGCTTTAAATTGGTTGTCAGTTTATGTCCAACTAGCGGAGTTAGCTGGATTTACACAGAAAAGATGCTGTTTCATAACCAGATTGTACCTCAGCCAGCCAGTACAAGAGAGAAAGTGAGGCAGAATAGGAGTTGATGGATCAGTGATAACTCACTAATTATGGATTGCTAGTCATCTTTATATTAAAAGTGTGAATACATACTGCACTGCAAAGAATGACTAGCAGTTGCTGTTGTCAATTTTGAGGAAGAGGTCTCGAATTTCAGTGCATTGTGATTGAATCACAAAAGTAAGCTGAGAAAAACTTAAAATTAAAAATGTCAGTATATTTTTTGCATGTGCACTCATAAACTTGAGTAAAGGGATTTTGTTTATTTGTTGGGTACCAGAAATCGAACTCAGGACCACATAAGTGCCAGGCAGACACTGCTCTGCTGAGCTATATCCCTGGCTCCCCATGAAATAGGTTTTAGAAGTGAGTAGGTTTCTCTCCATAATTAAAAGTAATTTTCCTGACACCATGTAGCATTTTCAGTGACAAGATCAAAACCAGAATTTACATTAACTAGGCCACTACACTTTCCATTCTGTGAAATGCTGTAAAACTTCAGTTGGCAGAAACCACCCTTAAATGCTATTAAAATTTGAAATATAATTACTAATTCTAATTTCATAAATCTATTGCAAACTTATTTGTCTTGTTGGCTTTAGAACTTAAATTTTTGAATTGAAATCTTAGGAAAGAATAAATGTTTAATCCGATCAAGTGGCATTTAAAACTTCAAACTTTTTTATTTATTTATTTTTTGCAGTACTGGGAATTGAACCGAGGGCTTCTCCCTGAACTACATTTCCAGCCTTTTTTATTTTTTATTTTGAAACAGGCCTTGTTATATTGCTTAGGCTAGGGTGGAACTTGGCTGTTCTGCCTCAGCCTCTCAGTGCTGAGATTAGAGGTGTACACTCTACATTCAGCTAAAAAACTCCTTTTTAAAAAAATTTTAACATTGTTTTAATTTTTACCAAGTATGAGAGAAACTAACCCTTGTAACATAATAAGTGATTGTTGGTTCTGAGATCCAACTAATGTCAAAACAGGTTGGAAGGTAAGGATGGCTTTTGAGAACTTCATGTTAAGTTACATTTGTGGACTTTAATACTAACAGTTTCTTTTCAGGATTTATGTCATTAATATATAATTATGCCCCTTTAAAACTTTGGCATGCTCGTAAATTAAAATAAAACCTAATGTTTTTTTGAATCAACTGGAAAACACATTGGATAGTTTTCCCAAATGATGTTTGGGTGGTCTGTGGAGAAGAATTTATTTGAATCCTTTTGAGAACTGTTTTTATTTGTAAAGTAAATATTTGTTCCTACATAATTTCAAAATACAAGACACTCCATTTTTCATATTGCCTTTTTGATATAGCTTTGTCTTTTCTTATAAATTAAGTTATAGCTTCATTTTTCTATTTTTTTCCCAGCCAAATTTTTAAACATAATCAGTCTACAGTTATTCTACCCTAAGATAGTAGAAAGTAAAATAAATGTTTTACTTGGGTATTTAGGGACATACAGTTAACTAAGGCTCTGAACCTGCTGATTCAGTAAATAAAGTATCAGAATAGCAGCAGGGTCCAAATTGCCCAATAGAAACTTCCAAATTCCCTGACAGTGTGATCAAGACATAGGGGCCTTGCTACTTGTTTTAGAATTCTTTACCACCACCATTCTGTTCAGGAAATAGAGATTTATTCATGGACCATTTATTGAATTCTAGCCCCTCATGAATGTGATAATCAGCTGAGTATAACGGCCATTTAGTAATTTAGGGAAACCTTACCTCAAAGTAAAACTTAGGAAAGAGATTGGGAATGTAGTTCAGTGTGTAAGCTCCAAGTTCAGTCTCTAGTACCACACACACACACACACACACACACACACACACCCTGGAAAGGTACCATAAATTACAATACTATGTGAAATCCTCCACTATAGAAATATGCATTTCTTGACTGAGGAGAAAATGGGTAAGAATAAACTTAGGGGATGCCAGAATCTGAAATAGATGGGAGTTACCTAGAGGCAACATTGTCAAATTGAAATGTAGTGCAGGAGAATGACTTGGGACAAAGCAGATTATTTAGATAATTCAGGTGTAAAATCACAAGGGTTTGAGTAGTGATACAGATATGCGAATCGATTGGGCGGAGAATTATTCTGGAAGGTACAGTAGTCTGAGGTTGGTCTGCATTTGGGCAAGGTCATACAAAAAGTATCTTTAGCTTTTTTTTTTTTTTTTTGAGCCAAAGAGTATAAGAAATTCCTTTAAGTATAGTACTCAATAGAGTAATGACTTACTACTCCTGAGTAGAACAGAAACACAATTACTAGGGTAGAACCAGCTGGTATTATAAATAACTTTGCCTCTTTTAATTAAGATAAAATTAAAGGATATAGTCTAACATAATTCATTACAAATAGAAATTTCTAGTATGAACTTCTCAAATCATCAAGGATTGGGGGCAATACAGAAGAAAAACATAAGCCAAGAAATGATTACTTCTAAATAAAAGGAGATTCTTTGCATTGTAACTTGCAGAACAAAACTCTATAAAGGTCTGATTTTCAGCATGTGGAAGATGGAGGTGATGAATAGATGTATGCTTTATTCTGATTGTGCTGGGTTAGTTTTATGAAGACTATAAAGTTCAAAGACCCTGGGTCAATCCCCAATACTGAAAAAAGAAATTCATCTGTGCTACAGAAACATACTGCTTTCTTCATTTTCTGATAAGTATTATTTTTTCATCCAGATGTATAGCCATGAAATCGAACTGGCTTGCCAAAAGCAGACAGAATTTGTGAAGAGCTCTGTGGCATGCAAATGGAATCTTGCTGAAGCTCAGCAGAAACTTGGTAGTTTAGCCCTGCATAACTCTGAGTCCTTGGATCAGGAATATGCCAAAGCACAAACAGCGGTATCAGAACTGAGGCAGCGGGAAGAAGAATGGCGACAGAAAGAAGCAGCTCTGGTACAAAGAGAGAGAATGTGTCTCTGGAACATGGATGCCATTAGCAAGGATGTTTTTAATAAGGTATGATCTTTTATTGGACCACATAAAAAGAAGAAAAAATATGTATCTACGTATTTGATGACAAACCAGCAGAATCCTATAAACAGTATTCGATTTTGGCAGTTTATAAAAAAATGGTTGTTGCAGAAAACTGTACCCACCAACTAATTTGGGTGATTGTTAGTACAGATATATGGATGCAGCATAAAATGTGGCATACTGCAGTGTAGTTTCAAGGTAGATCTCAGCTTTGTCACATGATGGCTTTGTGACCTTAAGTTACTTACTGCTCTGAGCCTTGGTTTATTCAGCTGTGTGGGTATATATTAAGTAAGATTATGTCTTAAAAATGTGTTAGCATGGAGCCTGGTACATGTGAAGCTCAGATGTTACAAGAAATTTCTCATGTTACAATGGTGTCATCCACCATACTAAATCAGTTTTGTAACATGCATGTTTAATTATTAGATTTACTAAATAAAAGTCCTTACATATGGATTTCGTAAAGTTATATGGATTTAGTAAACAGGGGGAGTAATCTAAACAAGCATTGGAAATGAAAGGACTCTACAAACAATTTAGATTCTCCTGCTATTAAATAGTACAGTGTTGGCCAGGTATCATGATGCGTGCCTGTAATCCCAGCACTTGGAAGCTGAGACAGGAGAATTCGTGCGAGTTTCAGATCAGCCTGGACTACCAAGTGAGCTCAAGGCCAGCCTGAATTGTGTAGCAAGACCCTGTCTCAAAAAGACAAAAAAAAAAAAAAAAAAAAATAATAATAATAGTAATTGTATAGTAAAGTCAATATTTATTGCTTGAAGAGTACCAAGGATGCAGAAAAACTGCCCTTCACAACCTGAAGTCATAGCAGTTTAAATTGGGAAAACAATTTTGGTGCATTCCAAGCAGCGTTTTTGTTTCTTAACTAGAATACAATAGAAAAGATCAGATTTTATTCCAGTTAGGTCAGAATTATATTGTTAAAGGCTTCTTTTGCACATGTATGGGGCCCCACTATACGGTGTATTTCTTGAACGATAACTAAAAATTGTTTGAAACTTCTTAATCTAAAGCTGCAAACTGAAAGCAGTTGTTGTTGTTATTGTTGTTACTGTTATTGTTTTGCAGTGTTGTAGTTTGTCCCCCAGGGCCTTGTACTTATTTAGGCCTTCTACCACTGAGCTACACTAAGCCCGCCCCCCCACAGGCAGTTTTAATTTAACCAGTCTCAAATATTTGTGTACTGCTGACCTAACATAAATAAGAAAGCATTCACAAAATGCTTCTAAGGATTGAGAAATATATGAGAATGAGAAAATACCTAAATCAAAGTTAAATACTCTTTTTTCCTACATCTTGTATTTTGTACCCCATACTTTCGTGTTCAATGTTTTAGAGTTTCTTTTATTCACCTCTCTTTATCTTACAAATGAAACTGTAAAGTAGAGTGACTTGATAACAGTGATGGCTTAAATCTGATTCCTTTATTATATTTAGAATCAAAATATCCCTTAAAATAAAATCCCTTTTAAAAGGCTATCAAAAACTCAAGATCATGTACAAACTTAAGTATTCAAATTTCTAATCAGCTAAAAAATGAAAAGAAAAATAATGGCCCACCACAAAGTTGTCATATATGATAATGTCTTCAGTGGGCACAGATTTTAGTAAAAATTATACTCCTTGGACTGCTTATACTTGGTCAAAAACTGCTTAATTGATTAATTTGAAGTTGGTTGGCTTTTTATTGCTTGTCTAGTTTCTTTGAAAATGGTACAATGTTAAGCAAACTCACAAAGCACACATTACTGTCAAATTAGTCATTGTTTAAAAGACATTCACTAGAGCAAGTAAATATATTCCTGAAACTAAAATTTCTAAGCTTTTGTTGCATTTAATAAACAAGCATTTGTATGTACTGCAATGTAAAACTTTTAAAAATACTAAATTCCTATAACTAGATTCAGTATGAAGGGATGATGACCAAAGGCACAGAGCACTCTGCACCAGCAAAGTCTAGTGTTCTGCACTCCAACAACAGTAAGAATTTAAAAGACAACTAAGGACAAAGAATGAAAGAAAAGTAAACATTGAGGGGGGAAACAACAGGGATAGGTATCTCACAGATAGGGACCATACTGACGGAACTAAAAACAGTAGTTAAAATTTGCAGACGGCTTCAAGATAACACTTAAATAACTGTTAAATGATGTACCTCTCTTAAATCTGAACTAAGAAATTCCGGCTGAGACCGAAAGACTAGGTAAGGTAAAGAAAGATATGAATGCTGGGCATGGTGACACATGCCTGTAATCCTGGCACTCAGGAGAGGCTGAGGGAAGAAGATGGCTACATCAAGTTTAGTTCAAGGCCAGCCTGAATGACTTGGTGAGATCCTGTTTCCAAAAAAAAAAAAAAAATTAGAAGAAGAAAGGTACGGATGTCCTCCTTTACCATTCCTTTAATAATGAAAATGATGCCCATATAATGATGTTCATTGTTAATGGGGATAATAGATGTTAATATTGGACATCATTGGCCTGGCTCAGCTTTTAAAATCACGTTTCTCAAGCTGCTAAAGATTTAGACCTTTGTTTTCCATTTGAAAACAGTTTCTGGGGATTGGTTTTGAAATGCATTGAAAGAAGGAGAAGAGCAAGACCTAATAAATTTATGAGCTAATGTTTTTAGCATGGAATGAATGGTTTGTGTGTATTGAAGACTAGTAACTACATTAATGCTTATTTTGAAGAAACAGTTACAACTAAGTCTGTGAACACACTGATGAGCACATGTTTTCATTTTTTTCTACTTTGTCAAAATGACCGAGAAATAGTTCTCAGAAGCCCTTAACTTTACAACAGGAGTAGGTTTTGTGTATTATTTGCTGTTAGTGTTGCCTGAGCAAGGATGGTAGTACTGTATTTATGGAAAGACCTTCAGATGGTACCATTTTCTATAGTTAACCACGTACATAATATATAGAGTGTATTCGGACTTTGTTTTAAAGCCTTTTTAATGTGCAGAGTTTCATTATAATCAGGTACACAGAGGAGTCCTATGGAGGCCGTGCTGTCATCATTCCGCTGTTTTCATTCATCTGTACTTTTCCCTTGCTCCCAATCTTTTAGTCATTTGTAAATTTTTAGCTAACATTTTGAGGTGTACAAATCTTACATATAATATCTAACAGATACACTTGTATAATATTCACTCAAGGTGATTTAACTTGAGATTAAAAAATATTGAAGTCTTCAGTTTGTAGCTTTTTGATACAATGAAATCCAGTCATTTTCTACTAATTTATAAAAGCGTACATTATGTTGTACCAGATGTAGCCCATAGATTTTGAGGATAAATTACTCATTCCTGTCAAAGTCCACACCCATTTTATCATTAACCTTTGTTAGCTGGACATTTCATCCTGTAACCTCTTTGTTTCTGCCCTCCTGGCATCCACTGTCACCTGCTTGAGCCTTCTTATGGACCAGCTCTGCTTCTTCATAAGAGGAACATGTGTATCACCACTGGCCCTATTAGTACCTTTTTTCTGAGAAAAATTTTAATAGTAAGAAAAATAGAAATTAAAGGGTCTTATTACTTTTAGTTCCATTTCCCAGAAATAACCTTTGTTAACAGTATTTACTATAGACTGTCTCTATACTTGTACAAATTCATATAAATTTTTCCACTCCACACCAGGATCATTCCTTATTTAATTCTCTGGGTATATATGTTGTTCTCAGTGTGTTTTAAGTGTTACTTTATTTCTGCTTTGCATTTACACTCTAAAATTATTTAAAATAATTTCTTCCTGGAGAAAATGCTCAAAGCAATGTTTATTTTGTAGAGTTAATGTCTGTTAACACAGTGATCACAAAGAAAATGTTTTCATTTTGTCATTGCTTTTGTTTAATTTCTAACATAGCTACAAATTAATTAGGACTATCTTTATATTTCAATCATTTCCTCAAAATTGTACATTGGTTTTGTCTAGGAGCTTGAGACTTGCAAGGACTGGTCTAGATCTCTGAGGTCCAACTCTATGGTCACCAGACACGTGCTATAAAATGTGATTAGTCCAAATTAAGTTGTGCTATAAGTGTAATATATACGTGAGATTTCAATGACTTAGTACCATAAAATTAAAATATTTTATTTTTTGTGTGTGTGTTGATTGCATGTTGAAATAATAATATATTGGGTATGTTAGGTTTAATACAGATTATTCATCTGTTTCTTTGACTTTTGTAATGTGTCTAATAGAAAACTCTGGTTTGTGACTTGGCTTATATTTCTGTTATACAGTGCTGGTCTTAATGGCAGAATGTACATAAAGAAAAAATACTTTTATTTCGAAATGTATAAACTTTTGTTGGTTCCTGTTGTAAATGGCAGAGAGTTAGTTTGTACTTTTCATTTTGGCATAGATGATATCAGGGTATAAGTTGATCACAGAATGTTCTAAAGGATTGTTCATCTAGCAAAACTGGCTAGATAAAAATTTCATCCTTGGTCTGTTTTATGACTTAACTGACAATAAGTACTTCTTTAATAGAAATTCATATTTGATTTCAAGAATCAAACTGTTTATCCTCTCTTGAGAAAAAAATAACTAGAAATGCAACCCAAGTCTTATTTTGGTTTACCTTTTCTGAAAGAATTTATAGTGATATACTGAACTCTTTATATGCTTTGTATTTCTGAATTAATTTCCAGCAAGATATCTAAAAATTTGACTAGGAGTGCAAATATTTATAGAAGCTGAATAATGCAGTTGTAAGTTATGCGTGCATAGTCTTTCTATATAATAAGGCAATTGAGCTTAACCAAAAGATTGTTTTTCCTGTGTGATTTCTTACATAAACACAAAATTTTCAACATGTGTAGCATGTTAAAATTAATGAAACTCACATATGAGAAAAATTCCAGTTTTTGTAATGAAGGGTTTAACAGTGATGTAATACAATATTACTATACCACATTTATATTGCCTCAAAGCAGGACTGATAGGCATTTAATATGTGAGAAAGAAAATTTAATTAGAATACAAAATCATTTTAATTTCTAAAAATTTTCAGAGTTTTATTAATCAAGATAAAGGAAAAGAAACAGAAGATGAAGATAAATCAAAATCATTCATGCAGAAACATGAGCAAAAGATTAGACATTTTGGTGAGTCTACTGTTTGAATTTCCTTCTTTGCAATGTTTGGTATCATATGTATTGGTGCAAAACATGGAATCATAAATTGGGAGCCCAAAAAGAAGGTACATGACAAACTAGGTGTGTAGTTACTACTGGTAGAGTTGTACAGATTTTGTGTTAGACCTGTTTTGGGTAATAAACAATAGATTGAAAGAGAAGCACAGTTTAATCTATTAATACTAACCCTCTAAGACAATCTTTCCACTTCTCAACTACTCTGCTTTTTTTGTTTTTCTTCTTTGCTTCCTTGATACCTGCTTATCTTGTGGTGAAAAGATTAGCTCTTTTTTTTTTTTTAAAGGTTTTGAATGTGATGCATGTATGAGCAAGACCTTGAGCTGTATTACACTATAAATATAGTATAGAAATGTGTATGAAAAGAACTAAGAAATTATTGTCAAATATAGTATAGAAATGTGTATGAAAAGAACTAAGAAATTATTGTCGCTTGGAGGGGGAGTGCCAGAAACTCCTCAGACCAAGGTAATTATCTTATTTCTGTGAGGGAAAGGTAGGAATTTTCCATGTAGAAAAGGCATTGGCAGCAGCCTGAAAACATGTAGAGTCAGGATATTCTGAGAATTATAAGCAGTCTGATACTGCCCAGGTGAAAATGCTATGGGGAAATGCCTGGAGTTTAGATTCAAAGCATATTTTTTGATCCCAGGTACGTGGTTGTTTGTGTATGTATTTAACACAGGGTCGAGCTATGTAGTTCAGGCTAATTTTGAACTCACTAGCCCAGGTTGGCCTCAAACTTGCAGCAATCCTCTTGCCTCAGCCTCCTGAGTTGCTGGGGTTATTGTGTGTGGCTCTGCACCTATGTGGCTTTTATTTTTACTGTGTTCATGAACATTTTAAGTGGCACTTAAAATCTTTTTCTATTGGCTTTGCCTCCAAAACGTAGAATTTCATTTATGCCTCTTATCTAAAGATAGTGGATACTACTTTCAGTTTTTTTCCGCTTTGTGCAACTTTTCATGACGTTCATATTTTCATCCTTTTTTGTTTGTTTGTTTGGTTCTGGAGATCGAACTCATGACCTCACACTTGCCAAGCAGGTGCTTGTGCCACTAAGCTAAACCCCTGGCCTGTCATACTTATTTAATAAAAGAAGATAAACTGTATATTTAATTCCAGAATAGCATCTAAAGAAATAAATATAGACTAACTTTACATTTCTATAGACTATCATTGTAATGTTCTTTATAATCAGAAAAAACAAGTAGTCCTTTCAACAAATGCTAAAAGTTTTTAAAAAAACAGAAGTTTGAGTTGAAGATAAAAGGCAGTAATTTTGCAGATGGTTTTTAGTTGTAGTAAGTGAGTTACCACTCCCAGGTATAGTCCTTACTTCCTAGGTTCACGTGTTATGCTGTAGGAAAATACGTATGTGTCTGCTGGTTGTTCTTTCAGAGCACATGATGCATCTGATAGAACAACATCCCTCAAGGTGTTTTTACTCGGCTGGTATTCTCTTGACAAGTTCCTTTGGACCCATAGAAGTTAGATGGGGAACACCCTTCTGTTATGAACTGAGTTCAATTGGTCAAAAGCAATTTTGTGTGGGGAAATACTCTTAACCTCATAAAATGTTGTAATGCGCCTGTACTGAGTCTTTAATAAAGTTTTCTCTATTCTGTAAAACCTGCTACTTCTGAGTAATGATATTTATAAGACCAGTGAATTTCATGAGCCCATAGTTTTCATTTCTTTAGCTGAAAAAGAGTTTTAAAAAATGAGGTTTGATTAGTAATTCATTAAGACCACTGATATTATTGCTTACAGACATAGTAAGGAAAGAGGGTAATTCCAGACAGAATGGGCTTGTTCAAGTCAGGAATTATTGATCTCTTCAAGATGAAATGGGACCAAGATATTCAACCTGCTTTTCAATGGATAGTTTCTCTAGTGTATGGTGCTATATTAGGTTTTGGCATTGGTTTCTGCTACTAGCAAATTAGATTTTCATTGGCCTTATTGGATTATGATGCTAAAACACTTTTCATGAGAATAGTTCATTCTATTGAATCAGGCATGATCTCAAGCTTGTGCCACCATGATTTTTTAGTTTATGAAACTATTGAGGATTTAATGGGATAGCTGAGGGAAAGGCTGACTTGACGTCCACGGGTGATTAATAAGCAATTGTTTTGCCCTTGAATATTGTGATCTTCTAGTACTTCATCTTGTAATACTAACCAGAGCCTTGCTGTGTTCAAACCCAACCAGACTTGATAGCCACTCCCAGATTCACATTGTGCCTGTTTCTTAGTGGAAATGCACATTGATTTTCCACTTTGGAGGAGATATCCTACTTGCTGCAGCACATTGGATCCACAGAAATGTTACTAAGGTAGTAGGCTCCCAAAATTTTCATGTGTTTTATTTTCCATTCTCTGGCATGCTGTATCTTAACCAAGGCATCTGGGGTACTAGCCACTTCTTATTTACCATGTTCCATGAGCAGAGTGGGTCAGCTTATAGTCATGTGGGATGATGAGATCATCAAAATCTCCCATTGACTAAATTTTGGCACAGAATGGAGGGAGGCCTGAGGCAAGGCAGTGAGAGTGAATGTTTCTGGTGGTATATACTTACTGTAGTAAAGGAAAATAGTATTTACCTTAATGATATCTATGATATGCTCCTTTAAACACTTCTGGAATAATAGCTTTAATTAAATTTCCAAATGAAGCTTTTCCAGACTTGGATTGGAGTTCAAACTCTTGAAAGACAAAGTGGAGTAGGTGGGTGCTGTGTAGGGCTGATAGGGGCTTCCCTGTGGCCTAACGTGTTTTATATTCTTTAGGGTTTTTCCTAACTTTCCTTTATGCTGTTTGTAGACAATATTTCTTGTGTTGCTTTTACCCTTATAACTAGATGGAATTTACTTGCTAATGGTAAATGTTACAGCTATTATGGTAGAGTACTGTAAAGCACTGAAATCTGATTTTTTCTTACTTTTATGTTTATTTTATGAATACAAAATACTAATTTAGATATAGAGCGTGCTTTCACTTAAAGTTCACAAAACAGTTTTATTTCAGTATGCATCTGTAATATCACTGTGATCATTAGAGTTACTTTTTCAATCATCTTTTTTTTTCATAATACATCATTGTCTCTTATAGCAAAGTGAGCTATGATTCAGCATTTTTCGAATCTGTTTATAGTATGTTGTCACTGGAAATTTTTTATCAAAAACTACCAGCATTTGCCTAAAAACTATCTATACAATTTTTTTCATTTGTACTGATGATGAATATTTATAACCTCTTCTTTTAATGTGTATTGGTTTAAGAAATCATAATAGCCTGATTTTGAAAGAACATTTACTATTAAGTACTCCAAAATAGAATATGAACTGAAATGAATAAAAAATTAAAAGTAGGGTGTTTTACTTTCATTTATTTATACATCATGTAAAAAGCCTGAGAGGAAATACATTACTGTTAATAATAATCTTTTGTGGTAGAATTATTTTTTGAACTTTTCAAATTCTTCACAATGAATGTACTTCATTTTTATAATCTGAAAAAAAGTTTTAATAACTTATCCTAGAGACTTATGCAACCTTCAGCTGCATAAGTGCCTACCTGGCAAGTGCAAGGTCTTGTCAATTCCTGGTATCAAAAAAGAAAAAAAAAAGAGTATATCCTAAGAACTCTTGGAGTGCTTAATATTAAAAAGATTATTATTGTAACCTCATCATATTTACAGATTATAGTAACATAACCACTGAACTTGATGATCAGTTTGATGTCAAAGGAATTTCTCAAATGCTTGATTGGGTAACATGAGAGTCCAGAAAGTGTGTAGTTTGTCGTTCAGGCCAGCCTTAAACTATGTACCCCAAGTTGGCCTTGGAACTTGTGCCAGTTCTCCTGCTGCAGCCCCGAGTCTTGGGATCACAGGTATACATCAGCACACCCAGCTCTCAAGTGCAAAATATTGACAGTTGATAGATGGAGATTTAGATGTTCACCAAGGAAATAAATGGATTAAAATATAATTAAAAATTTTAATTTGTCAAAACTTCCAAGTCTTCAGAGAAAATGGTAAGCAAGCTTAAACTAGATTATCCTTACCCAAAGGTAATGAAAGCTTGTTAAATGAATAAATTATTCATTATTATATTAATACTACTTATTAAGCATGTATTTTGTGTCAGGCACTATTCTAAATGCCTTATATGAATTGGTATCATTTAATCATCACAAAAACTTTGTATTAGGTAGCTTTTTTAGCCCTCTTCTATCCTGAGGAAATGGGGGCATCTATAGGGGCTTGTCTGAGGGAGTAATGGGAAAGCTAATATTCATACCTGGCATTCTGGTTCTACGGTCTGTCTTGTTAGCCATTGTTGTTGCTCTCTTTATCTACAAATTCCAAACTAACATCAGTAATTTCAGATATTTTCTGTTCCACTAAACTAGTGATGCTTTTAAGTATTTTTGTCATAAAGTCTTAATACCTTTCTACACAGATGTGTAAGGATCATGCATAGCTTTGGGTTTCATACTAATTTGCAGTTTCATACTAATTCATGCCATTTTTTAAATCAGATTTAAATATCTGTGATATTTCTCTGATATTTCTCAGACAAACTATGTTTAATGTCAAGTGGGAAGTTTGTCTCCACTATTAAATAGGTATTTACAAATTTTTAATATGTAATGACATCTTCCTCATGGTCCCTGCAAACGTTACTAACCCTTTTGTATTATGCTTCATGCTAAAGAAGCAAAATGGATAGGATTTTAGTAATCAGGCATTATAGTGCAGCCATGGAGAAGTTGAAGAAGCAATGCACTGTAGGTGGCAGAGTTAGAAATATTACATCTTCAGAAGTGCAAGAAAGCTAAGGTAAAGCTGCTTCTTAGGATTTATTTTGTGGCTTCAGTTATAAGAAATGATTATGCTTTCATTAGCTTAGCTCTGACTTTAAGAAGTTATTAACTGTATAGTAGTTGTAAACAACTTACTCATTCTGTTTCTCAGAATCTTAAATGACCTAATCATTGCATCAAAATGCTGGGGATTAACTTTGTGAAACTTAAAACTGTTTATAAGAGAATGATAAAATCTTTAATCCCTTTTTTGTAAGTAAGGACAAGTTGATCATATATTTTCAACCAGTTGCTCTATGTTGCTAATTGTGTGTTCTCAGACATTTGTCTTCAGTTTTATTTTCGTTTTCTGATGTGGAATTTATTTACTTATTTTTGTCTTTTTGAGACAGGGTCTCTCTATGTAGTTCAGGCTGGCATTGAGTTCACTTTGTAGCTCAGGCTGGTCTTGAATTTGCAATGATCCTCTTGCCTCAGCCTCTCCAGTGCTGGGATTACAACTGTGAGCCACCATGCCCAGCTCTGATGTGGAATTTAATATGTATATAGAAGTTAATTTTGTGTCTAGAGGGAAAGGTTACTGCTAAGTTACTGGAAAAAAAGATCAATAAACATTTCTTTGTAACATCTAAACTTTCTTGGGTAAATCCAAAAATTCTACAGCTGCCAATATTGCTATATGGAGTTTATCAAGAATAAAGCTAGACATTTAAGTATTTAAAAGTAGTTGCTAGGTGTGGTGCTGCATATCTATTGTCCCAGCCACTCAGAAGGCTGTCTCAATCATTTGAACTCATGAGTTCAAGACAGGCCTGAGCAACATAAAAAGAGATAATTTTTTAAATGCAGCACTTCCTTGATTGCACAATTAGTTGGTCATATTGACTTTGACCACATTTCTTACAGATTTTAAGAAACAGATATATCTTAAGTAAGAATTTGGATTTGTTTGACATTTTGAAACAAAATGTCAGCATTTTTAGTATGCTTAACTAACATTTAAAAATTTTGTTTACTATGCATAAAAACACATATGCAAAAGTTAAGGTCTAACATTACTAAAATGGCTCCAAGTATTCCTTTATAATACTGACTTAATTTTCTTGAATTGCTGTCAAATATTTCCATATCTGAAATACAACTTTTCTGTGAATTTTGGAAATTATTTTCATTCTACTGGATATTGCTTTACAGAGCATTATCCCACTTCATTTGCCCTTTACGATAATATATTGTTCTGAAAATATGAATTATCTTTAAATTAAGATGCCATTTGTTTCCTTATAGGAAGACAAAATATGTAACATGCTTTCTTTTTTTACAGGTATGTTGAGTCGATGGGATGACAGTCAGAGATTTTTGTCTGACCATCCATACCTTGTATGTGAAGAAACAGCTAATTATCTTATTTTATGGTGTTTTCACCTAGAAGCTGAACAGGTATTATGTGACTCTTGAGTTTCTGGAAGCCTTAGTGGAATTCTGGTTTCTTAACTGTAATGGTATTTTTTTAAGTATTTAATTTAAATGAAAGCAAGAAGGTCAGTAGAAAGGAACATGAATTTTTGTTTCCAGACTTTATTGAGTTTAATGGGGGATTTTTTTTTTTTTTAAAGGTACTGGGGATCGAACTCACGACCGCCTGCTTGCAAGGCAGGTACTTATGCCGCTGAGCTAAATCCCCAGCCCTTTTTTTTTTTTCCCACTGGTCTCAGTCCCATATCCGCATTTCTCATCCACAGATGTCCACTCAGATTAGGTTTCATCCTGGACCGGGGGATTTTTTTTTAAGGTGTTTCAGTTACCATATGGGATTTATGTGTTTTCTCTGCCATTTCCCAATTACTCTTGCTCCTATATACTATGATACTTTTTTCTTTTTTAAATACTTAAAAAATCATGTAAGTCAAATATAAGTTACAATATTAAATCAAGACAATTGCATTTTTTTTCCGGTTCTCATAAAAAAATAATAATTAAAATATACTCTTTATATGTCCACATAGTATTTGACTTTAAATAAAGCGAAATAAAAATACCCTAAAAATTTAAAATTTAAATTGGTTTGTCAATTAAATATATTTGTAAAGGTATTTCTTGTAACCTGATTGGTTTTTACTTTCAGAAAGGAGCTCTAATGGAACAAATAGCACATCAAGCAGTTGTAATGCAATTTATTATGGAAATGGCCAAAAACTGTAATGTGGATCCAAGAGGGTGTTTTCGTTTATTTTTCCAGAAAGCCAAAGTAAGTAAGTTATTTGCTATTATTAAAAGAGGAAATTAGGCCTAACCTGAGGTTTTTTCATTTTGTATGCATCAAGAAAAGGCATTTAATGTGACAGACTAAATTCTATAGGTGTCTAGTGATAAGAAAATTTAGTTTTAGGGGGCTGGGGATTTAGCTCAGCGGCATAAGCGCCTGCCTTGCAAGCAGGCAGTCGTGAGTTCGATCCCTGGTACCGATAAAAACAAAAAAGACCAAAAAAAAGAAAATTTAGTTTTGGGCTGAGGGTTTAGCTCAGTGGCATAGTGTAAGTTCTTGCTTCACAAGTGCAAGGTCATGAGTTCAGTCTCCGGGAACAAAACAAAAACAAACAAACAAAAAACTGAGTTTTGTTAACTTAATGCTAAGATGTAAAGAAATTATAAAAGAGACATTTGTGTGAAATTGAGACCTGCTCAATGAATGTGGAAAACTTGGTAGTAATGCAAAGTAAAGCTTCTTCAAATGCTGAGGATTACAATGTTGAACAAAGTAGTTATAGGATCCTTCATGTGCAGAATTCATCCTTAATAAGAAATCAGATTTCTATAATGAAAAAACAAGAAACAACATAAAAATTCAACATTTACAGAAATTTTTTTTTTTTTTTTTTGGTACCGGGAATTGAACTCACGACCTTGCTCTCGCCAGATAGGCGCTTGTGTCACTGAGCTAAATCCCTGGCCCTACAGAAATAATTTATGAGATTATGGATTTTATTGTTTTGTTATTATTGTGTATAGAGATATATTTATAGAACTTTTAAAATGCTTTTTGTAATTCTGTTATATTTTGGAACATTTTTAATTTAAGGAAATACTTATGCTATAAGTTAGAAAAAAGTGCTACATGTTTCTATAAATAAGATAATGTCAGCCATGTTAAAGAAAAATAAATATGTCTGGGAAGATTACCATTTTACATTTATAATACTAGTTATAACTTAAAAGTTTGTAAGGAACTAGAACAATAAGAATTTGGATTCGTTGTTTTTGGGTGTATGTACTAGAACAACCACTTTGAAAAGCCTTCTGGTAAATTTGAACAAGCGTATGCCTAACACGCAAAAATTCTTTTAGGGATATACCCTAGAGAATAGGTTGTCACCATGTAATCCAACAAACTCTCAGAGTCTTTAGAAACTCTTTAAGGAGGCCCTCTGTCATAACTGTATTCATAATAATACTAAGATGTCATTCATTTTTATTTTCATTCTCTCGAGTGAACAATAGAAATTGATGCTGAAGCAGATTAAGAATCGTTCTGCCTTTTGTTAAGTCAAACATTAGAGAGATTTGCAGAAATGAGAAACATATGCCTCTGTACTCACTAACGTTTTTTACTTTAGAAAACTACAATTTTTGTTGTTTATTTGTTTGTTTAAGACAGTCTCTTTGTATTGTCTGTTTCAAATTCCGAGGTTCAAGTGATCTCCTTTTTCAGTCTCCTGAATACCTGGCACTACAGCTACTGGCACCATGCCTGGCCTTAGAAAATACAGTTTTTTTAAAAGAAAAATAAAGTGTTAATAGTCGCATATAGTGAGCTTATTTTTTAGTTAGTTTAAAAATTACTTGGTTTTAATTTCTAATACAATATATATTGTCAAACACAACCTACGTAGGTTGTAAACATAGGTTCTTTAGCTTCTTTATCCCATAATGAAATTGATGCTGAATTTTACGTGGTTTTCATAGCATTTACAAACAGAAAATACAGGGTCAAAGAACTACTAGAAATGGGTAATAGTGCACCCCTCAGTAATTTAAGCCTTTTATAAGAATTTAAAACCTTTTATAAGCCTTGGTTGTTTGACAGTGAGTGGTTAAAGGATAGAAAGGAAGAGGTTAAATGAGAATTTTTTTTGAAAGGATGGAGGGGTGGATTGAATCCTATTAAAGGATCCAAATAACACAAGGAAAATACATGGGATAATTGAAAAATATGGTATTTTTAAAACTTTAAAATTTATTTTAGGGAAAAAACATTAGCACTAATTTCCCTCAGAATACTCCCTTCACTTCACTTTACCCCATTGTAGTTCTGGAAGTCTTTTTTTTTTTTCTTTTTTTGCTGCCTCAATGTCCTGAATCAAGTCACAGTGTTTACCTTTCACCGTCACTGTGACATTGGGGAAGAGCGGAAAGAAGCGTGGTGCAGACCTAGTGAGTAAAGTGGGTGAGGACACACTGTAATGTTTTTACAAACCTTCCTTTCTGTGGTATGTCACTGAATGGATCACACCTCTTAAAAGACATGAAAAAGAATTTCTGGTCATGCTTTAGAAAGTGGCAAGAATGATGGGAAAAGTGTATTTGAAGCAAGGAGGCGCACTCTTGAGGGAGTGTTTTGAGGGAGATGTAACATGTTCATGATGATGCTGTAATTCCTATGTCTCTGCTGGGTGGATTGAGCTACCTTGGTGACTGTCCCTTGAACCACTTTTTATTAACTATATTAGTAAAAAAGACCAATAAAAGTGATTAGTTCTATTTGTACCAGCAGTGTTACAAGCTGCCCTGTGGGATAATCATGCATATGTTATCAGTGGGTCAAGCTGGCAGGAACATGTTAATAGCAATGTGTCTCCTTCTGTAGTACTTTTTTTTTTTTTGGTACTGGGGATCAAACTCATGACCTTGCGCTTACCAGGCAGGCACTTAAGCTGCTGAGCTAAATCCCTGACCCTGTAATGCTTTTTAAAACCTTGTATTTTGATCATGTGTTAAACAAAGAAGGCTTGCTTTCTTTTGAAATAGCTGTGCATGTATTTTTCTTATTAGCTTGTTTTACTTTGCTGAAGTAGAAAGAAATGGAATACATCGATCATTAGTTTCCTACAAATTAAGTAGTTTCACAAGCCTAATAGAGACCCTGGTGGTTTCAACATTTAAGCTATTCACTTTTACCTTTACTTTTTCCATCTTTGGTATATGCTTTTTAGAATTTAGTATGTGGTGTAGAAGTCTTCAAAAACTTTGAGCTGGACCCTATGGCACAGGCATGTAATTCCAGCTACTTGAGAGGCTGAGGCAGGAGGATTGTAAATTGTAGAGCAACCTGGGCTACTAAGTGAGATCCTGCCTTTAAAAAAAGGGGAGGAGGGGACTGGGAATGTACCTCAGTGGTAGAGCAACTGCCTAGCATCAGGCTTTGGCATAATCCCTAGTACGATACACACGCACACGCACACACACCAAAACTCACATATTCTTTGATTCTTTGTGTTTGTGTGTTCTAGGCAGAGGAAGAAGGTTATTTTGAAGCATTCAAAAATGAACTTGAAGCTTTTAAATCAAGAGTAAGACTTTATTCTGAGTCACAAAGTTTTCAACCTATGACAGTTCAGAATCATGTTCCCCATTCTGGTGTTGGATCTATAGGTTTATTAGAATCCTTACCACAGGTAAGTTGGGAAAGTAAATATATATATTTTATAAATTTATTAATTCACCCAAGTTTTGTTCTTTTGAGCAACTCATATGTCATGTGTATGACTAAAATGTTCTTACCTCAAAAGGTAACCCTTGCTAGACATGATGGCGCATGCCTGTAATCCCAGCACTTGGGAGGGTGAGGCAAGAGGATTGCTGTAAGCTCGAGGCCACCCTGGGCTACATAGTGAATTCCAGGGTGGCTTGAACTACATAACCAGACCCTCTCTCAAAAAATACATACATACATACATACTTACATATCCTTGTGAGATAGAAAGTTTCATTCAGAAAACAATATTAGGCAAGTCTTATACTTGTTTTTCAGCTTTATAAAATGGTAAAAATTGAGATTTTCTATATCTTAACCATATGTCACTATAATTTTTCCATTCCAGTTACATATATTTTAGGAAAGCATTTGACTTACCCAACACAACCAAAAATGTTATTTTGCAAGTACACAAATAATAATCCTGTGAATTTTAAATAATTAGTAACACTCCCCCTTAGACATGTAAGGAACACTATCATTACAGATTATCTCTTTAACATTATTTAACACAATGACAATTTCTCTTCAGTTCCTGAGCAATAGCCCACAGAGAAGTATTTTCAAGGGTGTTATATGATTTGTAATCACTGTCAACCCAATATATAGGCTGGGTGTTGTGGCGCAGGCTTATAATTCTAGCATTTGGGAGGCTGAGACAGGAAGGCTGCCATGAGTTTGAGGCCAGCCTGGGCTGTGTAGCAAGACTCTGTCTCAAAAAGCCAAAAAATAAATAAATAATAATTCCAATACATAAAACTAAGTTGTCATATAATGCATGGTGAATAAAGAGACTTAAAGGATATTATTAATTCTTAATATAAAAAGGAAAATATATACATTAAAATATTTTAAGTAGCCTGTATCATCAAAAACTTCCTCTGGTCTGAGGAAGTTAAATGCATGTCAGTAGCAGTTGCTAGGCTTGCATCATACTTGTGTCATAAAATTTTGATACTTAAATTGTTGATATTATTGGGCTTGTTCAGACTTACTTAATGTAGCTAACAAATAAGTTCCTAGCAGTGTGAGAATTTCAGCATCTTTGTGAAGTCTGCCCAAGAAAAAGGAGAACAGGATAAGATTTTGGCTAGAGGCGTAGGATTATTGAGTGGTTGAGAGAATCAGGATAAAATGAGAAACTATTGAGGAGCCAAGTTGTCAATTTAGAGATATGGAAGAAGATTTAATCATCGTAATAGTGTCCTATTTTATATCAAATGAAACACTTTCATATTTTTGTATCATTTCCTATTTTTAATCACCTCAATGCTGTGGTTCATTTTCTTTCTTTCTTTCTTTTTTTTGGTACTGGGGATCAAACTGAACCTCACGCTTGCCAAACAGGCGCTTATGCCAATGAGCTAAAATCCCAGCCTGTGGTTCATTTTCATACAGTTTTATAGATGAGTGAAGTGAAATTTAATAACTGATATTGTAATCCAGAGTGCCCTTCATTTCTCATTCACATTGTTGAATCAAATACTAAAAATAGGACGAGACAGTCATACCCTTTTAAGAAGAACTGTTCACCAGGACAAGAACAGTGTTGAGAATGGTATTAGGTGAGAATATGAGGCAGTCAGGAGAATTTTAAGGGTCAGGGGTTTTGCTTGCTTTTTGTTTTTTAAGTTTCTCTGCAATAGTCTTACAATTCTTAGGAAGGCAAATAAGTTGTGGAGAGTCTCCTCAACCAACTCTCAGTACTTAGAATTCTGTGTGGAAAACTGGAACCCAGACTTTAATAGAGAAGGGCTTTGGAATTAGGCCTAAATCTAGGACTTAACACTGCTTTTTGAAAAACGGGAATGTAACAAGAGTTGAGTTTTTTATAAAGCTTAAATTTGGATATAGTTTCAGTGTTCTTTTTTTGTAATTGGCAGGAATTTTGTGAGATAAGCCAAAGACTATTATTATCCTTAGTTTTTAGAGGACCAAACTGAGGCCTTTTTGATATAGTTAACTGTATACTTTGTGTTACTCTTTTTTATTAAATTTGAGGATTTTTCTTCCTTTTGAGGATTACAATACCAAGTAAATGCAGAATTAGAATCAAGGTCCCATTCCTTAATCCGTTTATTACCACTTCTTTCACCAAGACCTGTTTGGTAACAGTTCACATTCTGGCTAGGTTTTTGGCTCTTACAGTAAGGAAAGCAGTAAATATACTTTATCAGAAGGATTTTTTGAAAATCCTGACTCCCTGAGGGATGTGAAAGTTTAAGATATCTGTCCCATTTGGACTAGCTTATTTGTGTTCTTTTTCCACATTGGTACTTATTAAATAAAAATAAGTGAAACAAGGTGATACAGTAGTAAATGTGTAAGTGGATGGCATATATTGAAAATAACTTTAGTAGGCCAAATTCTTAGGAAGGAATTTCTTACGTCTGAGTCTTAAAGGCTTATGTCCTTATCCCTGGTACTTTAACAAATGTTTTTATTTTTGCATTTATTGAACAAAGGTTTGTGTTTCTGTTGTTCGGTTTTGAAATGGGCACATGTAAGATTTAAGTTTTTCTTCTGTTTAAAAATAAATCCTGGTGTTTTGGGGGTTTTTCTGTTGTTGTTGTTTTGTTTTAAAATATGTAAGCCTAAATACCCCTCAAAAGATTAAAGATTTCCCATTCAAATTTATTTTACTCATTAAATGGACTTTTTTCTTTTATTCACATTTTTCATTTTTAGTATTTACTGTTATAATTAGTAACTTTCAAAGTATGTTGGAGGCTTAAAGTCACACCATTTAAATTATCAGTTACATAGAAGACTAGCATTGAATGTACCTTTGTATAGATTAAATAATTAAAATTACAATTTTTCAAAAGGATAAAAAAGTGGTGTTACATTTCTGTTCATATATATCATTCTGTCTTTATTGTTCTCTTTGGATTAAGTGATAATTGGGTTTTGGCCCAAGTCTGAATCCCAAGTTCATCTTCGTTCCTATTCTGCTACACTGCAAAGAGATAGGAAATGAAATATGTAATTGTATGTACTGACATAAAACTGGTTACCATGTGTTCTTTTTCTCCTACCTTTTTCTTTCCTCCCCCAGAATCCAGATTATCTTCAGTATTCTATCAATACAGCTACAGCTCTCTGCAGTTTAAATTCAGTGGTACATAAAGAAGATGATGAACCCAAAATGATGGACACTGTATAATTTGATTAAGACTGCTGAGGCCAAGTGCTATTTTGTTACCAGAAAGGAAGAACTTGGCTATTTTCTTGACACTTTTATGGGTGCTGCACTTTATTTTTGTTTGTTTTTTGATGGGAGGGAAAAGTACTGAAACATTTTGTAACTTTTTTTTTTTTTTTTTAAATGTGCTGCTAGGTCTTTACTTTTTTCTGAAGGGAGGAGTGGTACATGTTGGAGGAAGTCCCCTCACCTCTCCTTTGGCTACTAATTTTGCCTTTAGTTGTTCTCAATTTTGGAATCAAGTTATGAAAATCTGCACAAATGCAATGTTTACAAGAACTGGTCGATTCTAGTAGGCATCTGCTACACAGTCTCTTTTTATATGGATGTGTACATGTCCTCTACAAAAATAATTAAAGACAAAAATATACTTTTATCCCACTGGTAATTTAACTGTCAAATCTGGTGTTTCATTAAAAGCAATAAATCAGTAGTTGGTAATGTACTTTACTAAATAAGCTGGGTGGCACAAATTTTTAAATCTTTCCTCCTAAAATATTACAATTGTATTTTCGGCACCATCAGTTAAATCTTTGACTATAATATAAACGTGTAGAGACATTACATTTGCCCGCTCAGCCGCAGAGTACTCACTAAACTGTTCTTTAGAAGTTTTTTACCTTGTTGATTTTTTTAAATATTAAGGCTTTTAGTGATATAAAAAATGATAAGCTTATGTATTTCGTTGTTGCTTTTTTTTATGTAAAATAAACTTTAAGCTCACTCTTAATTTCTTAACATAGTCTGGGATCTCTCAGGGAGTAAGTTTTAAAAGAATATTAATGGCCTATAGGAACAAACAGGAAGAATGATACGGTTTTTTAAAATTATGATTATTATTTGTTTCACACTAATGTAGCTTTTTTTTTTTTTTCCTTAAAAAGCTTTTGTAAAAGACATGAGACATCTTACAGAGCTGACTGCCTCGAGCTGCCAGTACTTATTTCTAAGAATCTGATAACCCTTCCTATGGTGATAATGGTGTTTGCTACATTTGTTGTCCTTCTTTAGCTTCTGAGCATTACTGCTTCCTGTACAATTTACTTTTAGAAAATCAGGATATTTGATGATTCATTTGATTTAGAAGTAGATGACAGTGCAAACTGTGTTATCCTTGCTATCTGGGGATTTATCTGACATGAGCTTTGATTGTATGAGTACAGTCTTTGACTCAGGACCCTTTGAGACTGGTGGCAGACATTTGGCAGATGGCTCACTGGGCTTGGGAATACATGTCTCAAGTCAGAAAAGCAAACTAAGGGGCCCGTATGGGGATGGGAGCTCTGACTTTGGCCTTTTATGCGCCCGTTTTAACCGAGTGAGGAGGCATAGAACATAGAGAAATGGACTGGAATTACTGAGTCATACTTCCGTAACACCACAAGCTTCCTGGTTTTCAGAATAAAGTCTTTTGTGCTTTTGATATAAATATTTGGTCTATAATAAAATATTTGACTAATTTATATAGCAGTACTCATCAGACTGGATTTTTTTATGGTCTGGTCATAGAAAGAGCCCCCAACTCCCCCACCCTGCTGTTCTGGAGCATGCTTTTATTTGCTCCTCATAACACATGGAGAGAATGGACAGACACACAAAAAACAGAAATGTTACTTGAACTGTTACTTTTAGTTTCACCTTTCAATTATCTTACCTTTGAATTATTTTCAGTTTCACTCTAATTTCACTTTTCCCCATGACTTGCCTATAATCATCCAAATTGTTTTTGCTTTTGTTTTGCCTGATGTTAGAGCTACTAATGGCTAAGACATGAGAGAAAAAGTATGGACAAGCTGAATGAACTATTCCTGAAGGGGTTTGTATTGTTTTTAAAAATAGATTACTGAAGAACAGTTCTTAGAAATTTAACTATATATTTTTTTACTTTGACCAGGAAATGTTCTGTATTTTGAGTGTATGAAAGTGTCATTGTATCTGTTCTGGGAACCACTGGTGGATGCCATAATTTGCACTTAAAAGGACTTTTACATAACTAACAGTACTTTAGTACTAAGAGCAGCCAGTATCCTTTTTCTTCTCTTCATTCTGAAAATGTCCTCTTTAGTACTGAGAACTAACTCCTTTCAAAATAAATATCCTCTTTTCTGTTTCTTAATAATAAAGAAGAGTATAGTCAACCAAGAAATAACACATTATTTCAGGCTGCACAATTTTCCCTAAACAAAAACCATGGAATGTCCAAACTGATTTAATGAAACATCTTTGACATCAAAGTATTCAACAAAGACTCTTGTTTCACTTGATAAAATCTTCTAATAAAGTACTTTTTAAAAAAATCAAATAGTTATCACTCCATTTATTCTCTTAACTCTGTCATTCTGCAATGGTAGTGGATCATACTGATTTAAAATTATTACGCTGATAAATGAGCAGCATTATCTTACAGTTATACTATTTGTGGGTGCCTTCCATTTTTGCTTAATGAACTCACAACCTCCTGTAACTTCTCTTTAGGACAGTCAGGCTTTCTTTTTTTAGACCAGCATTCATGTTATTATTTTAAGTGAATTGACATGCTATCCAGAGAATATGCCTGTGTTTTATTTTGAGACAGGGGCTCATTAAATTAGGGTAGGCTTGAACTTTTTTTATCTTCCTGCTTCAGCCTCTCAGAGTGCTAAGATAACATCATATCCGGCCTAATATGTATTTCTTATAGAATAAAAACATTGGTCATAGGCTTAGGCTAGATGATCTTCAGTATTTCTAGAGAAATCATCTCTACTGTTCTCAAAGTAGCTTGTGTATTTTTGTTTTTAAATTGATGTAGGACAGAAATGACACACCTGGTTCAATTTTGCCACTGTCATACATACTTTTAACAATCATGCATCCATGCTCATCTGTAATTGATATGTATGTAGTATTTCACTGGTCTTCTGAGAAGCAGATTGAATATATATGCTTGCTTACTATGTAAATTAATGGGTATACAAAGGAATAAAAATTGACTTTGAATTGCTTACGGTCTAATGAAAATATTCTCAAGCTTTAAAGAATTAGATTTGAAGTTTGATGTTTTCTAAATACTGTATAGAAAATGATTTTTTAAAACTTCCCATATCTTTCATTTGGTTTTTCTAAACACCATGATTACTAGTGCTATTTACTCTTCAGACTCTTGGAAATTCTTTGGAAAAATATGACAGATCCTGGACTGATCTATACATGCCAATGACAATTTACCTTTATTGAGGGCAATATATAGAAAAACCACAATCCTTAAGGAGCTTAAAGAAAGTGTTGGATAGAGAGACTACAGATCTGTGTTAAGCCTTTACTATATATGTCTTAAGAATGGTTGGCTATTTTAACTCTAAATATTTTTACACCTTGACTTCCAAGATGAAAATGTTTTATTGCAAGAATAAGAAAGCCATTTCTTCAGTTTATCATTAACATCCTTTTGTCAATGAGAACACACACTTTATAAGCAGGTTTTAAAATACAAATTTATTTTTGTTGTTGGTTGCAAGTGCTGTATTACAGTAATTTGCTTTCACATGAGTTTTGTAAATACAATGATTTGTTAGTATAAGACAGTTTTTTCCTAAACTAGGAGGACTCAAAATGTTTTGCTGGAATACCATTGTATAAAACTAAGGAGTGGAGGGGGAAATAATCAGCAGATGGAGTTCAGAAATTTGACCAGTATTAACCTGTTTCAGATGGACTTTAGGGCTGAAATATGAGTGGTAACAATTACTGCCATTTTCCATTTCCAGTCTCACCTTTTGCTTGATTGTGATACTCCAGAAAAAAGGGTAATGGGTTGAGGCACTGTTCTCATTATCTTTTAACTAAAGTATAATAACTCCTCCTGACCATGATGTTCAGCTACAACATTTCTGTGCGGTACATGAATCATACTGGATACCACAGCATTATTTGTTTAGCAGGATGCACTCAGCAGTGATACAATCATTACCTGTGACACGAACCTGTTCAGAAATTGTTTTATTAAAGAAAAATGTCATATTCATTTCTCAAAGTAATGGATGTATGTGCAAAATTACTATTGTTTTGGGAGTGGAGGTGTCTCGATTTTCATAGCTTCCTTCAACGTTTCTCTTTGATTGTGCAAGTCTCTCAAAAGGTATCTGAAAGCCAGTGTGGCTACAACACCATACCAGACGATAAAAGACTTACCTAAAACTAAACCAGCCCATGCACTGTTTTAAGGCAGTTTATTGGAATGAAGCCAGTGAGGAGAAGTCAGCACAGCAGAAAGGTGGGGTAGAGTGAACTTTGTGAATTATCGAAGACAAAATAACGGCCACAGTACTTAAATTTTATTCTCATTGAAACTCGTGTGTCTGGTGATAAGTTTAGTAGTTCAAATTTTTATAAAGTATATAATGTTAACATTCAAATAAGGCATTGTAAAAGTAAGAACTAGTGTCTAATCTTTTAAAAAGCCTTGCTCCAATTTGAAAGATTAACAATGAATTTTTTTTAAAAAAGTGCTTCAACCCAGTACATAAGCACCACTGGCTGGCACTTGAATTTTAAATGCCTGGAGTAAAATGGGCCAAATTCTTAAAATGCCCATTAAAAGGCTGGTATAAGTGCTTAATCCATTTGTTTTAGCACCAAGTAAATTAAGAGTATCACATGGAAAATGCAGTTGGGTTTTTCCTCTGCTTCTCAGATTGCCCTGTTTTCCACCAGGCCACATCACATGAGTAGGCATCCTTGTTGCCCAATAAGGAAACCCATCAATTTGTTTTTTAAATGGCTGCTCAGAGGACACTAGCAAGATTCTTTTACTATGGCAGTGACCACTAGCACATATCTTTGATTAGAAGTAAAGATCTCCTTCAGGGAACTCAGTTACTTATCTAATCTTTTTCTAACTTATCATATCTATTCTTTTTATTGCTGTACCTGTTTACTAATTATGGTTGTGTTACTATCAAGGGAGTATCCTGCTGGCATGGCTGATCTATTTATAGTCCCTTAATAACAAAGTATGCTTACTTGACATAGTGCCAACTTTTAAAATTTTTCTTTGTACTATAATTTGTCGTTTGCCAAGGTAAATTATACATTTGAGTTAAAAAGAAACTGGTAAGTAGATCCTGTATTTCTTAACCTAACTAAGAAAACCTGATTATATCTTCCACAAAATACATTCACTGTTGGTGCTGATCTAAGAATTCTGTTGCCAGTTGTGGTGGCGTACACCTGTAATCCCATCACTTGGGAGGCTGAGACAGGAGGATTGCTGTGAGTTTGAGACCAGTGTGGGCTACAAAGTGAGTTCAAGGCCAGCCTGAACTGCATGGCGAAACCCTGTCTCAAAAAGACCAAAAAAAAAAAAAAGAATTTTGTCATTTTTGACATAAATCATATCCTTCAGCACACATGTATTTTCAAAAGAAAAGAAGCTAATTTCTTATATCCTAATTATTATATTTTTATAGCAAATTGAGAATTCTGAGTGAGCCAAAAGTATGTCTAAAGACAAAATAAATACAGCATAGATAGCTAACTTATGTTTATTAGTATAAAGGCAACAATGAATTTGCATCTTGCAACATCTATAAATCCCATTGCTTTTTTTCTATAATTATATATCAGGAAACTATAGATATACTGTCTCACAAAAGCATATTCCACAGGACTAGAAAATGTTTCTGGTTTTATTTTTTGTTTTTAATCATTCTGCAAAAGTTTCATGATATTTTCCCCAAGTGACACACAGTATTTTTACTTCTCCAAAAATAGGAAAATTTGATATATCAAGTACTGAACAAAAAAATTACTACCAATTGCTCTTTTAATTTTACTTTTTAAAACTTTTTTTAAACATACCTGGTGTTTTTAATTACACGCCTAAAAAAAGACATGGATAAAACATACTAGACAATTTCAAAAGATCAGTCTTAGTATCTGATTCATTTGGCACATCCTTAGTAATACACAAAATAAAATCAGTAATTTAAACAATTTTCAAAGAATTCATACATGCTTGAGTCTTAGAAAACAGAAGTTGCTAAAGGCACAGAAGAGTTTCTTCTCATCTTACTAGTGACATGCTTTGCTTTCATGGAGTAACTGAGGCTTTCTGGTTTGTTTGTGGAACTTTTGTCTGTAGGAAAGCATATACATGCGGCCAGATCTTGTTGGTTTCTGTTCCAGAAAATGTTTCCAACACCCCTTTTTTCCTAAAGATGAGGGAAAAAAAATCCATAGGCCTGAGTCTTCCTAATGAGGCTTTTCAAAACAACTTTTTCATGAAAGATGACACTAAGATTAGGAGTTTCATAAGCATAGGTCTGTGTGATCAAGAAAGAAAGGAACTTGGCCTGTCACTGGAAAATCTAGACTTTAGTTACAGCTCTGCCCCCTGGCTTACAGAAATGGGCACCTCAAAAATAATAGTAGCTGTCGTTAACTCAGTATGCACTGTGCTAACTGAATCCTTTACAAAGCTCAACTTTTCTTTTATCGATAATAATATCTTTTGTAAAATTAACTTAGTCCAGATTACCAAGATGGTGGTAGGTTTCCAAATGGTACCTATTAGGCCCCAGAACACCCCTTTGTTCACTTTAAGTCTTACGCAAAATGAGCTTTCTAATATTTCAGTATGCTTTTTGCTGAGGTTTATTTATTTCTACTCTACCCTTATGAATTTTAACAGAAAATGTTAAGCTGTATAGTTTTTCCTAATAGATTTCTGCTGTGTAGGTTTGTCTGGCTTGTGATGAGATCAATAGACAAAGTCTGTTTTTATTTACCACTGTTTCCCGTGGATCATATGGTGAGGAGTGAGATCAAAATCCTGGGTTGCTTTTCAAACCACACAGCCCTCCAGAGTCTGCCAGTGTAGCTAATCCCACCTTTTCCAACCCAAACACTCCTTTGCATATACCTGAATTGAAAGGCAGCATAAGAGCAACTGAAGAATGCTGCTTCCTAAAAACACGATCAGTCATACATCCCTCTGCAACTCTTTTTACTAAGTTTTCAGGTAAAAGGATTTCTTTTTGATCCCTCATAAAATTTGCTACTATTAACACCACTTTTCTTGGAGAGAAGCGTCTGCTTTGAAGAGAAATTATGTAAACATAGTATTCTTTGTATATTATAAACTCTTCAGTTTCTAAATCCACAGGCATCTAGTAAGGCTTTCAAGAGAACAAGCCTAGCAATTTTAAGCTGCTTGATGAGCCATTTTCATATCAAACCACAGTGTCACGAGTGGGTTAATCACTGAGGGCACAACTGCAGGCATCTAGTCAGTCCTAGACCTGTACCTTGAATGAACATTTGTCATTTTAATTACTGTGTAACAAAATGGAACTAGCTCCAAAAACTAGTCCTCCAAAGAGTAGGAGCATTGTTTGTAAACAGACCTATCAATGTTCCACAGGTGAGAATTTTAAAATGATGGATAGCGTTATAAAATAATGCCATACCAAAATTCTTACACTCTTTCCGATATTTACATCTAGCTTTAGTTCTGTGTGAGAATTCATATAAGACAAAGTCAAAGTGATCGCAGGAGATGACAAAAGCCTGAGGAAGCCTAGAAGGAAAGACTAGAATATCTCTTAGAATAGGATCTATGCCATTCATTTCTGCAGCTTTCCCAACTTCTCACATTTTGGCAGAACTATTCAGAGCCTTCTAGTGGTGATGTCTGCCCAGCAATAATGTATTCTGCCTTCTGGATGCTACTGGAAATCTCCCCATAAGGTTCAAGTGAGACTGTCTTCAAAGATGGCATGATCAGAGCTAATCTGTGTCAGCCACAAGACAGACAATAAGGCTTGTTTTCCTGTGTAGGTAGCTGAACTAGTAGGAAGTGAACTGCCTACTTGAGACTGAAGAAGAATTTTTCTCTGTCTCTCTGTCTCTGTTTTCTTTCTTTTTTATACCAGGTCTAGTTATGTAGTTCAAGCTGGCCTTGAACTCTGTCTAACACCCAGGCTGACCTTGAATTCACTGTACCTGTACTCCCAGCACTCAAGAGGCTGAGGCAGTCGGAGCACTATGAGTTCAATGCCAGCCTCAGCTACTTAATTTAAGTCAGCCTGAATTACATGAGACCCTGTCTCAAAAAAAAAAAAAAAAAAAATGACCTATATATAATAGCACTGCAAATGAAGAATTATGCAAATAAAAGCAAATCCATCAAGTTGGAGTTTACTTTGACCAGTTCTTTGTTTTGAGTATTGTAATGTGCACAGTATATACAATTCCTTATTTAGCAACCAATTCCGTTAATGGCCCAGTTGCAGGAACAGAACTTTGTAGTTAAATGGAAGCTTGTATTTAATACTGTCTGATCTTATAAAAAGTTTATGCTACTGGCACTAAATACATTACCCAGACGGACACAGCTAGTAATCCTCAAAGCCAGACTCATTATATGAATCACAAAATTATAGCAATAGCTACTGTAAAAAGTGAATTGCCAACTGTTTTAGCCTTTCACCCTCCAGAAATATCTATTAAAACAAGAAACTACTGATTCAGATTTTATTGTATACTTAGCCCTATTAACAATACTGTTATAACCATTAATACTTACATAGTGCTTACTGTGTCAGCCATAATTTTCATATTAACTCACTTTCAAGCCTCTATTCTCCTTTACAGAGTATAAAATAGGCAGAGTTAAAGGAAAGGGTTAAGGCTAAATCTATTAAATTGCAAGATAGGACTTGAACTTGAGCCTTCTGGCTCCAGAGCCTGTGCTCTCACAACATGTACTTCCTTGACACTGAATCATTACTCCGAGCAAATAAAAGAAAGGAGGGGCAGTCTTCTACAGGAGAAGGAAGGGCTGAGCAAAGAGATGGGACTGTGAGCCTGCACCAAATATTAACAGTACAGTCCCCATTGTGTGTGATATGAATTCCCTAAAGAACAGATGAAAATCATGTTAGAATTGAAGCTTTTAAAGAGTACTAGGCAGATAAGTGATCTAAAGGTTAGTTGTCACTTAAGATTCTTTGGTGCTAAAGCATCCTCCGTTGACACAGGCAGAGGGCTGAGGGCTCCACTCAGCAGGAATATGGGTGAGACTGGCCCACTCAAGGCTCTAATCAGTGTTATCCTTCCCAGCCCAGTGACTGCTTGGGAAATGAGCAGGGCCCAGAACATTAAGTCCCTGACAACAGTGGCTGTTCTATGGGTTTAATGTGAGGGATGCTTGGGGCTTTTGTACACTGAGGGAAAGGTTACTCCGAAGTCCTCATGAAAGAAGCAGCCCCACCTGTTCCTGCCAGATGTCTGCAACCACTCAGGAAACTTGAGGACAAAGCCAATAGTACTAAAGAAGGCCATGTTAGGAGATTGGCAAAATCAAAGCTAGATCTGACAGGCCCAACCTACTTCTGGAATTCCTTGTTACACAAGCTAATAGATTTTCTCTCTTTGCTTAAGCAAATTGAATTTGGGTCTAGAGAGGTTCCAAAAAGCAAGAACTCACTGGTAATATTCCAAGACTGGCTCTGTTTGGGCTTCGTAAGCCTTGAGTCTCTTAATCACTGTCTCTGGTTTGTCATCCTCACGTTGAATCAGAGGTTCTCCAGTCAGGTCATCAATACCCTAGACAGGAGTTAGAAGAGAGTGGTGTCAAATACAGTATCTTTGAAGGATATTTTTATAAGCAGTTCCATTATAAAAATATATAATTATATTTTAATTATAAATTCCATTATAAAAATGGAATCGGATTATCTTCTCTGTGTAAGCAACAAGCACAAAAATGTGTTAGCTTTTAAGTAAATGAAAACCAAGCCATGACAGATGACTGCAACACTTCATCACCAAGCAAGTGCCTTTGCTCTAATGCATTCCACCCATCATGATGTCGAGCCTCAGCACAGGCCTAAAAGCAACGTGCCAACTAACCCTGTACTGAACTCTCCAAAATCCAACTCATTTAGTTATTTGTTACAGTAGCAGAAAACTAATACACATAGATCTTCTTAATTAAAAGATTTTCTAAGAAGCCTCCAAATAATTCAAAATATATACAGTAAGATTCAGCTGTAGACCTCAAATCTCATCTGCTAGCCAGTATTCCAAATCCCGAATGCCTTTGCTCCTAACACATTTCTTGGCACTAAGGACAAAGTTAATAAATAACTTCAGAATGAATCACAAACTCGGGTTGCTCCTGCAACACCTTTACTACCAACCTGAGTGGACTAGACCAGCCTGCTATACCAAGTAACTTGAGAACACACCATCAGGAGTTTTGGTCAGGCAGAGGATTTCCAGTTCACAAAACTCCTATCTGTGAAGGCAAGAGGACTTGGGGAGAGGCAGTTCCACCACATCTACTCACCACAGTTTTGGGAGGGTTGAATTCAATGTTGTAGACTCTGCCGCTGGCTGGATGAATCCAGCGAGCAGTGAGTCGTTGTTTAATGACCTCAAAGGGCACATTCAGGTTAATCACGGTGTCTATCTGATAAGCTTTGTCCAGGGCTTCTGCCTGTGGAAGTGTCCTTGGGAAACCTTTACAAGATAAAACAAATAGGAATGAAGGGAAAGGGAGAAAAGGATAAAGAAAAAATTTATGTTGAACAAAAGGAACATCATCAGGCAGGCTGTCATGCAACCGTGATTGGTAATTTTTGGGTGCCACTTTGACCAGGCTATGGGATGGCCAGATATTAGATCAAACATTCTGGATGTCAGGGTGTTTTAGGGTCAGATTAACATTTAACTACATAGACAGAATAAAGCATATTACCCTCCCTAATGGAGGGCCAATGGAGGCCAATCAGTTTGAAGGCCTGAGTAGAAAAAATGGTTGAGACTCCCCCCAAATAAGAGAGAATTCCTTCTGCCATATTGCCATCTAACTGGACATCTACATCTATATTTTCGCCCCTTTGAACAAAAAAACTCAACTTCAATCAAAACCTGAAAATGCTTTTTCTAGAAAATGATAGGAAACTTGAGGCAGAGAAAGCAGCCCTAAAATTGAGCATCCCAACCCCAAACATCTGAAATGTGGTGATGCTCAAAAACTTTCAAGTTTTGGAGTATTTTCAAATTTTGGATTTTGAGAATTAGAGGTGTTCAACTGCTGAAGCCTGTGCAAACATCCCAAAGTACAAAAATCTGAATCTCTTCTGGCCCAAGCATTTCAGCTTTGGGATACTCAACCAGTATAGCTACAGTAGTTCAAACAGTGGTTCTAAAATGCAGATTAAGGCAAATGTAACTGATTAGTCAATCCATAAATACAACCAAATATATTAGAGAATTTAAAACAATACTTTGATACTAAATATTTGACTCTGCAATGTCAGCACTTAAGGACATATTTTCCAGAATACCAAGAAAAGCTAAAATTGGTAGAAATAATATATTTTTCAAAAGTGACGAAGGTTAAAACTGCCCATGCAATAATTTATTACAACTAAAAATACATTTCCTTGTAAACACTAAAACATGGGAAAATTTGCCTGTGACAATGACTAACACTGTACCCAGGAAACCTGGATTTGGGGGAAAAGCCTCCAGAGAAAGATGATAATGGCAACAAGAAAGTCATTTAAGAAAAAGTAAACTGCTGAGTGATTCTGATTCTGGAGTTACTGAAATGTGCTGGAAGACTTCAGTTTGTTAATCTTAAATCACGTACTTTTTTTCTGTAATAAAACTCTAGTTCTCTTGCACAATGGTGTAAAGCTGAGCAGAGGATCATGAAGCATAACCTTTACTCCTCCTTTGACACTACTGTCCAATCTTGCAACATGATCTGTTTCTCAGTGTTTATGCCAATCAGAGGGTAGTGTTGAGAGTACAAATTATTTTATATACGTAATGTTCAGTTCAGGAGAGCAGCTTTTACATCAAAGTTAAAATTTATCTTGTGTTTCTTAAACCTTCAAATCTGTCTCACTTGTCAGATTTACCGATTAGTTAATTAATTAATTTTTGCGACAGAGACCCAGTATGCTGTTCAAGCTGGACTTGAATTCATTGTATAGTCCAGGCTGGCTTTAAACTTATGGCAATTCTTCTGCCTCAGCCTCCCAAGTGCTGAGATTACAAGCATGCTCAGCCCTGTCAGACTTTTTAAAAAACTGCCACTACACAGGTTTTGGCAATCTTTTGTGTTGTTATCTCTTAAGTGCATATGAAATTAGTAAAATAGAGACAAGTGCAATATATATATATATTTTTTTTTTATTTAATAAAAAATATATATATATTTTATTTTGGGGTTTTGTTTTGTTTTGCTTTAAAAGTCTACAATGAGCCCCTACTTTATCACATGTGCAGATCATAATTTTGTATAATGGCAAAAGCCTCAAAATATATAATTTTATATAGCACCAAAATTAAATAAAAAATCAAGCACTTATTATAAAATTTACAGTGAAGTGGTCCTGAGGAAAACTATTTGAATACACTTAATAAGATAAATGGAAGATAGTTTCCAAGTACCAGGATCTGTATACCAAATATTTTCTAAGGGTCACTTCTTTCAACTGTCATAATAATCATGAGAAAGGTACTACATTATTAACACTTTACAAATGAAATTTAGGCAGAGCAAGGTTTAGCTATTAAACTAAGCATAGTAAGTAGAATTTGAACACAAGCTATCCATTCCAACACCTATGCTTGTAAACATGAAGTGTGCACTGAAAGAAAAAAAAAGTCTTGGTAAAAAATACCTTTCTACTGCTGTACTTCTGATTAAAAGGTTTACACTCATGAACTTAGAATCAAACACCCACTGAAAGAAACAAGCTGAATGAAAATGACCTTTAACATTAACAGAAACATAAAGACAGTTTCCACAGCATCGCTCAAACAGCAAAAAGCTGGATGTGACCCCAACATTTCTAGGGAGGGAATTAACTGGAATATTATACATACTTCAAAACACAAGCTTCTGCTTAGCTTATTTCCAAGAAGTAAATCTGTTAAATATAGTTTAATTTAGTGAAAAGACAAAATGCCCCATGTGGCATATATATGCTATGTGTGTACATATATACAGATAAAGAAAAGTAGTATTACATATTACTTGGTGGAGAAGAGGGAATCTTCATATAAAGATGTATGTGTAGGGCCGGGGGTTTAGCTCAGTGGCACAAGCGCCTGCTTGGCAACTCAAGGTCATGAGTTCAATTACTGGTAACAACAAAAATAAATAAAAGATGTATGTATAAATTTGTATTTTTGTTATCACTAACTATAGGAAAAAGACAATTTGAATTACATTTCAAGCAATTAAAAGTAGCTGCTCCTAAAGGATATGACCATTGAGGACTTTAAGTTTCTCATATTTACATCCTTTTAAAATTTTTTTTTTTTTTTTGTCTTTTTCCTTTTTATCGGTACCGGGGATCGAACTCACAACTGCCTGCTTTACAAGGCAGGTGCTTATGCCGCTGAGCTAAATCCCCAGCCCCCATCCTTTTAATTTTTAAAATTAACAGTATTATTACAATAGAGCAATGATTTTAAAAATCAAAAGTAATAAAGTTTTGCCATTCCAAACCCTTTCCCTGTGGCCCTGTCTTTGATCTATTTCCCATTTGTGCCAGTTGCTTGTGGCTTTGGAGGAGAGACAGAAACCTAAGACTGGCTAGGGAACCAGAACCAGTCTTGCAGCTCAGGACAGAACCCAGGCCCAGGATTTCTGCTGAAGCCAGGGGCCTCTCTGCACTCTCTGCCCTACAGATGGCTCTTCTCAAAAAGGCACCTGCTGGGGACACAGGGTGGACAGACAGGCCAGGGTGTTCCCTCAGGGAGTCGGTCATCTAACAGGTACCAGAGATTAATCAAGTGTTTACATATACAGATCATAAACAGACCATCACAAGTTATAAGGTACAAAAAGGAAACTTGAAGCTGCTCAGAACTTGGGGTGCAAGCCAGGATTAGGGGACTCCAGAAGGGTGAAAACGGGGAAAGGCATTACACACCCACAGGACTGATTGCGTGTGGCCCACAGGGTGGGTGTCACAGGGATTTGGAGCTGGCCTAGTGCTTGTTTTGGTTCACTCTCCCTTGGCGGACACTTTGAGTGAGGGCAAGGGGCAGGCACAGAGCAGGACACTTCAGTGACATCCTGCAGGAGGGCTGAGTGATGGAACTCCTGGCTGCCCACATCCCATGGCCCCCAACCCTAGCATTGCAGGTCATGTGGGGGATCACGTGTAGCACAGGGGGAGGAAACACTGGGAGTCAAGAGTTTCTGGGGCAGGGGAGCAGGGGGCCTCAGTTTCCCCTCCTGTAAAATGATGGCCTTGGACAAGAGGGTCTCTGAACATTTCCCAACACCTCAGAGAAGACTGCAGGGCTAGCTTTGAGGACCACAGCCAAAGCGGCTCTGGCGAAGGGTCTTCAGCAGGCCGCTATCCTGCCCCAGGGTAGCAGGTGTCCATCCCTGGCAGTAAAGAGCGTGACCGTGACGTGTCCACCCTGGGTGTGTGCCCGTCAGGCGGGAGGGTCAGGCCATGGCTTTTGGGGAGACAACCAGGGACTAGTATCATGGGTAATTTTCCACTGTCCTGTGCTGGATTGTATCTCCACCCTGCCTGGGTACCGTGTTTCTGCAGCCTCACATGACCTGTTTCATCACTTATATAAGACCTCACTCAAAAAGGAGGGGTTCAAATCCTTCCCATCTCACACAGAAAGAAGCAAGACTCAACTAAACTTCTAAAAATAAAGTTTTGAATTCTAAACCACATATACATACTTTCTATTAGAAAATAAATAAGATACTTCTCTACCACACTACTATATTTAAACAACTTATCTCAAAGCATTCATTGGTTTCTATACTTACCCAAACTTCTATTTAGTTATTTACTATGTGTCTCCTGCTAGAATGTATATTCCACACAGACAGGATTTCGTTCATGTTAGGTTCAGAGCCTCAAACAACTTTTGGCACATCAAAAGTATTCTGTTAGTATTTGTGTAGTGAATGAATATAAGAAGAATGGTGTGCACAGGATCTATCAGTTAGCATAGTCTCTGCCCACCTACCAAAAATCGTTTATAAATGTTTCAGGGATTTCTGAGTCCTTAAGACTCTGCAAATACTGATAGCAGGCACAATCAATGGATCCATGTAGGCAAACTCCCTGATACTAGCTCCCACAAATACACCTGGTAAGTGTTCTCCCTACCCTCTCCTTCATTTGTCCTCTCCCAGTCGAATCCACTTGGAACCTTTGTACAAATTAAAAACTAGGGAACCTTCCAAGGAAGGCACGTGGCAGGGCTACAGATCTTGGTGAACTGGTGCCCAGGCTCCAAGGTGGAGGATGGGGCTGAGAAGGAGAGAACAGATCAATAGCAAGCAAGGCTACAGTAGCATATCCTCTTCCAAAACTGGGTGTATGACTTCAATCCTGAAGAAAAAGATATGCCAATTTTAAAATATAGATAAATCTTTTTTATTTCTTCTCTAATCAACAAAGCAATGATTAGAAACTACAACCTGCCCTCCAGGATTCTGCTGCACCTCTGGCTGGGGAATTTTATAGCTCATTCTAAGTTACTCTTGGGGCTCCCTGCTATTATAGCAAGCCTTCCACTTCATCAAATACTCTCAGCGTGGGGGAACTGAACAAGTATCACTTGTAATTTAGAGACCATGCAGTCTATTTCCCTCTTCCCTTTCAGATAAAGAACTAGGCTAAAAGAATATGCCTCAAAGCTGCAAGATAGTAAGTGGCAGAGCTCAAGTCCTTCAACTGCCATTCTTGACCGGACTGACCATGAAATAGTCAGGACACACACTTACCATCCAACAGCCAGTTATACTGGGTGAGATTTTTCAGCTCATGCAGGGCCAGCCGAGTCATGACATCATCTGGGATGAGCTTCCCTTGATCAATGAAGGTCTTGGCTAACACACCAATTTCTACAGCAGAGAGGGGGAAAAAAGTATATGCATTTGTTTGAGACCATTCCAGGCCCCTAGGATCTAGCTGTCTAAAAGCAAGCCTCTAGTGGCACACCCATATGAAAATGTGTAGTGTTAACTTTTCTGCTAAAAACAGATTAAAATTTATTTAAGCCTATTTAAAGTCTTCCAATGGAAGAGGAAAGAATTGAGTTATATGATGTATAGGTACAAATTCTCTATGATGAATATGATCATTCTGTATATCCAAAATGTACCAATAAGTCTGATTTAAAAAACATCCTCCAGTATGTAAAATGTAACTATAAATCTACACATAGAAAAAGTAATGTAAAGCTATAGTCATTTCTGTGTGATAGAACTGATTAGTTTCTATAAATTCTATATTTTCTAAATTTTCTATCAGAAAAAATACATGGAACAACAATTTTTTTCTTTTTAGAAAAAGACTTTTTGAGGTGGCTCAGTTTAAGTGCTCACTATTATATGTTAGTGTAGAGATTTTTCTAATCCTCTAACAGGTGTGGCAGTCATAGTACAGTTCAATTTTTTGGCCAGACTAGCATTGTGATCATATTTTTAAATAAAACATGCTTGAAAAACATTATGAACACTTTGAAAATATTACCGACAACTTACTTTTCTTTCTTTCTTTTTTTCTTTCTTTCTTTCTTTCTTTCTTTCTTTCTTTCTTTCTTTCTTTCTTTCTTTCTTTCTTTCTTCTTGAGACAGGGTCTTGCTATATAGTTCAGGGTGGCCATGTATTCACTAGGTAGCCCACGCCGAACTCCAACTCACAGAAATCCTCCTGCCTCGGCCTCCCAAGTGCTGGGATCCCAGGTATGGCATGTCATTCTTATGCAACAGAATTTTAATTCCCTTCATGACACTTACCTAACTATTTACATAGGCTGGAACTGTAAAACTATTATAATCTGTGTATATATAATTCTGTGTTCTTTTTTCACTATGAATTATTTTGTAAATACTGTTATATGACCTTATAGGATCACTTCTGGTAAATATTGCTTCTGTCAACATTTTTCACATATAAAAATACACTTCTTACAGAAATTGTTAGACATTTATATTATGTAAATTAACCTGCTACATTTAAGAGTTTAACTTTTCTTTCTTTTTCATTTCATTGTCTCCTGAATTATTTCTGATAGGTAAATTCCTAGGAATCAGATTAAAGGGTCATGGTATATATGACCATTTTCATAACTCTGTATAAATTACATGCAGTACTGACCTAAAGACAGATTTCAAATTGTTAAATGTATGAGACTTCATATTTTAACCAAGAATTAACTGCATGAAAGTGTCTGTCACTTGACAACTGCTCTACTGGGTTTATAAGCAGCATCTGGGAGAGGGCCTGGATTCTGCAAGAGCTCTCAGAACTAAAATCATCTTTGCATAGGTCCATATACTTAACATGTGTGGACCTCTCTATCTCCAAACTTTTGATCACTGCTCTGGGAAGGCAGAGCCTCAACATCCTCAACAGTGTTTAGGGGGGAAAAGGTAAAAACTTCCAATTCTTCAGGGCTGAATCCTAAAAAATACATGTTTGTCAACACCTTTCCCCTCCTATATTTCAAGCCCTCTTCTAAATATCTGGCCAATCCAAGCTTGGTGGCATAGGCCTGTAGTCCCAGCATTTTGGGAGGCTGAAGCAGAAGAATCACTCAAGTCCACAGCCAACCTGGGGTACATAGTTCAAGACCAGCCTAAAACTACAATAGCAGTCCCTGTCTCAAAAAATAAACATTCAATCGATGGAAACAAATGAATTTAGGTGATAAGACTAATTAATAAAGTGATTAATTTCATTATTAGAAGAGCTTTAAGGTTAGGTAATCTGTTCTTGCCACTTCTAATGGACATTATACTAGATATTCTAGCCAGAAAACGGGTCCAGAAAATAAACAAAAAGATCTAGTTTAGGACCGGGCATTTAGCTCAGTGGCATTAGCGCCTGCCTGGCAAGCGCAAGGTCATGAGTTCGATCTCTGCCCCCCCCAAAAAAGATCTAGTTTATAAATACATATAAAATTTGTTTTTATACATTTTATTTTTTATGTATTTTTTAATTTAAAAAAGCTTTCCCAGATGAGGTATGAACCCAGGGCCTTTGCACCAAGCTACATTCCCAGCCATTTTTTAATTTTTGTATTCTGAGATGGCAGCTCACTATGTCACTAGGTTGCCCAGACATTTTTAAAAAGACATAAAAAACCTGTAATCTGAAAAATATGATATTGTTGACAGAAATCAAAGAAGACCTAACTAAATGAAAAGACGTTTGATATTTATGGACTGTAAGAATTAGAAGTGTTGACAGTAATACCCTCCATGAATGACCTACAGATTCAGTATAATTCTATCAAAATCCTACCTACCTGGTGTCTTTGCAGAAATGAACAAGCAAACCCTAAACTTCATATGGAAATTCAAGGGACTCATAATAGTCAAAACAAGCTTTAAAATATAAGAAAAAACTTAGAGGACACATACTTCCATTTTCAAAACAGCAGTCATGCCTGTGTGGTACTAACATAAGAATAGACACATGCATTCACAGAATAGAATTCACAGTCCAAAAATAACCCTCAGATTTACAGCCAATTGTTTACAAGGATGCCAAGACAATTCAATGAGGAAAATAGCTTTTCTAACAAATGTTTCTGAGACAACCAAATGACCAGATCTAAAAGAATAAAATCAGCTCATTGCTTTACACCATATATAAAAAATTTAACTCAATATGATTATGTAAAAGCTAATACTATAAAACTTATTTTACATGATTAGCTATGAAGCCAAAAGCACCTCTACAAAGGGATAAGCAAATGGTCATGATTAAAATTTTTAATGTTTGCTTCAAAGAATATCAAAATGGAAAGGCAATCCATTGGATGGAAGATGTGATTTATTTTTGTTTGCAAGGAAGCTTTTGTAAATCATGTCTCTGATAAGGAACTTATATCTAAATACCTAAATAATTCATGGAGCTTTTACAAAAATGAAAGAGACCTATTTGGTGAAGGTGGGGATTTAAAAAAGTGTTGAGATGTGTTATACACATGAGTGAACTCCCTATGGTGAGTGTAATCATTATGTATTGCAAATGTGTACTAATATAATAATTGTAATCAAAAAAGAGTAGAACAGATCAATAAATTGAAAGATAGATACAGGATTTGAATATGCATTTAAATATACACTTCTCCAAAGATATACAAATGCCAATAGACCCAGGAAAACATGCTCAATATTTTTGGCCACTAGGGAAATGCACATGAAAAACAGTAAGATACCACTTCAGGTTCATTAAAATGGCTATACTCAAAAGGTCAAATAATAACAAGCATTGGCAAGAATGTGGAAAAATTATAGCTCTCATACACCTCTGGTATGTTGGGAGCTGTGGAAACTGGAAATTGAACACACATGCAAGGCTGCAGCATAGCCAGGGCATGGCAGACTGGAGAAAGAAGAGACACCTCAAAGGGCAAATATAAGGCCACAGCTGAGGACACCTGGCCCCCACTCCAATTAACTAAATACTCTAGCTACAAGCCTTTCACTCCTGCAGCGAAATGCAACATGAAGATCTTCTCTTGATACTTCTCCGAAATTAACATAAAATAGTTTTAAATTAAACATAATTTGTTACTTGGCAAAGTCCTTGAACCACTCCCAAGGTCTGTTCAGTTTCCTGCATTGTTTGAAAAATAAATAAATAAATAAATATAGGCTGCTCAGAGACATTCCCTGTCTCTTAAACTCTACAGAAGGGTTTTAATCCTCCTGGAGCCCTAAGATCATACCACCTATCTCAATTATGTAAGCCTTCACTATACACATGTTTGGGTGATTGAGGATCTATGCCAGGTCCCTGATACTGGTAGGGATATGAGATGGTGCAGTTAATTTGAAAAACTGCAGCAGTTTTTCAGTTTTTCAAAAGATTAAAATAGTTGCTACCTATATGATCTAGCAGTTCCTCTCCTAAGCATTCAAAATAAACTTAAAAACTTATATACCCATACTAAAACTTGTATGTGAATGTTCATAACAGCATTATTCAAATTAGTCAAGAAGTGAAAACAACCCAAATGTCTATCAGCTGATAAATGAATAAATGGAAAAATATTCAGCAGTAGAACATAATAAACTACTACTAATACACGTTACAACATGGATGAACCTTGAAAATATTATGCTGAAAGCCAGACACCAAAGACTACTCACTGTATGATTCCATCTACATATATAAAATGTCCAGAACAGGGCTGGGCATGGTGGGAAGCTGAGGCAGGAAGATCAGTGTGAGTTTGAGGCTAGCCTGGGCTATCTAGTGGGTTCAAGATCATCCAGAACTACATAGTAAGACCCTGTCTCAAAAAAAACAAAACAAGACAAAACAAAAAACAAAAGTTCAAAAAAAGGCAAGTCTATAGACAGAAGCAAGATTGAGTGCTGCCTGAGGCTGAGGAGAAATGAAAGAATGACTGCTATGCACTGCACTTTCTTTTTAGGTAATAAAAATATTCAAAAACTAGTGGTGATGGTTGTACAACTCCACATACTAACAATCACTGAGTCATATACATTACACGGGCTAATTTTGTGGTATGCAGATTATTTCTCAATATTTTAAAAGAAATGAAAGGTCCTGGCAAGCAAAAAAGAAAGAACAAAAAGCCACTCATAATTACTAGTCTGAGATAATTTTTTTTAACTCTGAGATAATTCTTAATTATCATTCAAACTGGAATTAGAAGCTGGGCATGGTGGTGTATGCCTGTAATCCCAGCACTCTGGAAGGCTGAGATAGAAGAATCACAAATTCAAGCTCAGCCTTGGCAATTTAGGAGGGCCCTGTTTCAGAATAAAAAATACAAAAGGGGCTGGGGATGGCTGAGTTCAATCATCAGTACCAGGAAAAGGTGTGGCGGGGGGGACCAACTCTAAGCAGTGCACTT